TCAATGTCAATGTCATGATTAAATTTTACCTTGAAAGTGTACTTTGACCTTGACCTTGTGACATTTGAAAGGTCATGTGGTTCTGGGTTGAATGGTGGTAGTCCCATGTCTCTACGACTTCCGATTCTCCGGTTTGGTATTGCATCATATATTTGATTATTCATTGTGATCTTAATGAACTTTGGAATTGTCACATTTTTCTTTCTCTTTTTTTGTTAGAGCGTTGTACTTCAACTGCAAGTCATTTTTAATTTAGCAGATTTGGGATATCTGTTGTCGTTTTAGAGATAATGCAGTTTGAAATTTTGCTAGTTGGGGCATGTATTTTTGAATCAACAACAGCTAGCCACCTGAAATTTTCAGAAATTGAAGAGTTTAACATGGTTATATGTTTGGCTAATTACCAAGAACATTCAATGAAAAACCAAAAAAAAAAAAAGCAATTTGAAATTTTCATGTTTTGCATTGACTTTGTAAGTTTCATAAGTTCTATTTATAAAATTGATATTGCATCATTTTTGAGACTTTGCCAACTGGGTCATTTGTTATATCAAATTGAACGTCTAAATGAGCTTTAGCTTAAAAATGAAAAATTTAAACCCCTTTTCATCCCAGTGAGAAGGGTGGGGTCATTTTATGATATAAGATATCTAATGGTAATAATATAGGTGATTTAGTGCAAAACTTCTTAGATGGTAAGGGTGTCGCATATTAAATGAAAGTCCATAAAGCGTACATTTCAAACATCAAATTTACAGCCGCCAAAAATGGGTTGGGTGGGGTCATTGAGTGCAAAAAATAAATTGTCTTCTAAAATAAGGTTGTTGAATATGGTGTTGTCGCATATCAAATGAAAGGTCATCAAGTCTACATAACAGATACTTCCGATCTCGAAAATTTAGATGGATATGGTCATTAAGTGCGAAAAGTGAAAAGTTTAAGAAAGGTATGCTCGTAACATATTAAATGATATGTCGCAAAGAGTGCATTACAAATATAAGACCTTAAAGGGAAACCCCTTTCAATTGTTTTATAAACAATTGAGATACTATTTTCATATTGTTATTCTAAACTGTTTCCCAACATTTATCGCCCTGAAGATCCTAAAAAAACATTTCATTAAAATCAAATATGTCAATAAAGCTTTTGATTATGTAAATAGTTCCGAAATTCATTCCGTAAAAGAACAAATTACTGGTTATTTTGATAATACTGAGCACCCTCTTATTTGTTATGTTTACAAAAAATCTACCCGGAAATATGATTTTGATTATAGCGAGGTGAGTAAAGATTTTAATATTTTTAATATTTTAATTATACCTTAGCTACGTCATGAAAGTGCAGTAACTCCAAGTACACTAATGACCCCAGTTCCCATGTGACAATTTTTTTATTCAACCTAGAAATATTGAACATTATTGGAACTTATATTTATTAATGTTTTGAAAACTATCAATATAGTACGGATATGTTTATATGTAACCCATAAAGAATATTTGCCTGTTAATATTTTATATAATCTGTTTTTTAATTCTTTTAACATATATGCATATGGCTCTGGTCTGGCTGCTGCTAAAAAAATAAGATAAGTATATCCATATTTATATCAATGTAAAAATTATTTGGGTCTCTCAATTAAAAAAAAAACAACATAGTAATGAATTACTTTGCTCATCATCATGATCATGGGCCATTTAGTTGGAATGAAATATCTTTATCACACGTGAAACAAAGTGCACAATAATATATTTCGGTAAAGAAATATAACAAGATGATAAACGTATTACACACATAATAATTCACAATACCACCGTATGGTAGCGACACCGGCTATTGGTACTAACTGACACGAGATTTGTATAATGATATGTTGAGAATTGATCTGTTCTAATCATTTAGGAATGTTAGACATCCGCATAAATTAAATCTAGAGATAAAACAAATCATCTTGTCCCGGAAAGACAGATTATAAATTCAAATTGTATTATTGAATAAAACAGAATCAAGTACATGAATTTAACAAATAAACAAATAAAGATAAGTTCATGTTATTAAAAAAAATAAACATCTGAGAATCCAGTCAGTTAAGTCCACAGTCCAGTCCAGTCCAGTTCAGTCGATAGTCCAGTCCATTCCACAGTCTAGTCCAGTCAAGATATTGCAGTTTGTCCTTTGTGTCTATTTTGAAAATAACTTATTATGTCTACTATCTCATCAAATGAACAATCTAATGAACGTTAATCTTGGTTGAAATAGCAAACGTTTTTTTTCAAGCTCCACAGGACACATAACGTTTTGTATTTGTTTGTGTTCCAGGTTTGGATATACCTATATGGATGTTTTTTTAATAAATTTGCAATTAGCTAACGAACTTTCAAGTGGGATTATTCGTTTTTTTGCATTTTGCAAAATGTCTGTCAAAACATATTCAAGTTAAAATACTTCGAAGAAGTATAACTGTTTCCGATTGTCTATTCAAGATTGAAATTTTAGTCCAGTTCACAGAACAAATTTCTTTCATAATAAAAAAAACATTGAACTATACTTGTCATCTGGATACTGCTAAATAGCTCAATTCTGAGACATTAGTATTTTCGTATAACAAAGGGGTATTATCTGAAAAAATATCCAAAATTGTTAGTCTTCATAATAGATAAATAAAAAATAAATACCAGTAAGTTCTTTTGATAATTATTTTTGCCTTCTGCGCAAAAAAGGACCATAATTCCGTGAAACGCAGGTAATCCGAGTCAAAATCGATCTATTACACATCATTATACAGTTATAATGCAGAAATCGGGTCAATAAATTAATGCATATTGAAAAAAAGTCTGGACATTTGTGAATATCGGAATGACTATTACATGTGTGTTAAACTATAAACTAAATAAGCTATGCTAAAACGCGTATTTTTCTTGGTATTTTTTGTATACCATGTTTTGGGGTATTGCACACTATCGTATCATCCTGTACAGTTTGTAACGTGGCTGTATGAAATCGTCTATGTATTGACGATATTAAGTGTAGATCGGGAGAATTTCTTATCAACAGGTTCAGTAGAAGGCAAAATGTCTTTCATTTTAAGATTAGTTTGTTGAAATCATAATTCATAATTAGTTGTACATTTTGAACTACGTATACCCATCCAGAAAACAACTCAGTAACTTTTAACATTTACAAAAATAAATAAGACTTTTTTCAGGAAATGGAGAACAACAATTTGATATTCGTTATTTTTTGGAATTTTTATACAATTACTTAACGGCAAAAATGTTGGCATATGATCTTTTCATAAGGAACAATGCACGGAGAATGTTGACTTAAATATGAGACGTCCTACACATAGTATGCACAAAAGTAGCTTGTTCCACAAACAGGTCCGGTTATACACACTTATCTGGTGCCACAGACAACACATATGCAACGACATTTGTCTTGTTTACGGATTTGAAAAATTCCACAAACAAACAAGAATATATTTACAAACGATTATTGTTTGGTTTCATAACAGTATGTTTGAAGAATGCTTGTTTAGTGATTTTATCACTGAATGTTGAACTACATGTACCATTTAATATGTCTGACGTATTTAGGTGATCGAAATGTCAATGCTATTTATGCCTCATGAAACTAAGCATACAAGATGTATCTTTGAGAATAAATTCGACCAAACAAAACACGAGACACAAACCACGTTAATCAAAATAGACAGATAACATCATGATCAGAAAAACACAAAGACCCGTCCACAAACTTTGGATAAATGGACAAATAAGCAGTACGTACAAATGATAGATAGAAACAGATATCATTCCAAAAGCACATTCATACAGAAAATACATATTGTATGTTGATATGACATCACAAAGCATACGTATAACAAATGCGTTAAGAAAGTGATTACGAACAACTACCAAGGAACTACTGAAGGAATGGTTCCTCAAGTCATCTTTTTGAGGTTGATCGGACGTCACAATGACATATATGTAACTTGTATAGAATATATGTGTGTCGAATTTGAATACAGGTATCTATGTGTCGTAACCCCAGTGAAAACTTTTCCCTATGTACAATGTATAAATACGGGTATCCGTGTGTCGTAGCCAAAGTGAAAACTTTTCCCTATGCACAATGTATATGACAATCACTATTAAGCAATCGCGGCCGAATACGAGCAAAAATGGTTACAACCAGATATGTCCATGATACTAGCAGCATAAAGAGTGCCTTTAGTGGAGAAAATATATAAATTTGTCTACAGTTACACTAAATAAATAATGTCTAGGTGTACGATGGACAATAACTTAAGTAAAAATAACGTAATCAAATAAACACTCAACGAAGCGAAAATAGACATGCCACAAGAATAGAGATATCTTGCTACACGCTATCAACTGTCATCAATTATCTGAGCTGCTTATTTCAAGCAATAGTATGAATTAGTTTAAAAGTGTCAAATTTCTTTCGTCCTCAGACGACAAATATGCCAGCAAGATATCTTATATTATAAGATATTATCATATGAAGCTTTTGTTCTCGAACGTAAGTGTTGAACGTTTTGGAAGTTGAAGTGTCAAGGGTATCTAACATACCGTGTTGGTACTACTCTTTGATCGGTATTGTTACTGGTAGTCTTTCAGTCCGTAATGGAACTATGCGTTCATTAAGCACTGCCACAGTACTGATATGGTTTTAATGATATTCTATTGGTACATATAATGTTGTTACTACTGTTGTTTGTTATATCAAGAAAAGAACTGATCGGAATTGGTGCGGGAAAAACCAATTCTATTACTTCACTATTTTACTGTTTCCGTATTATCATCATAAAATACAATGTCTTTAGAGTAAATAATTACATATACATGTGTCCCTTGGAAGCAGATATTTGCAGATCTTAAGAAGAATGTTGTATGTTGACGAGTTTAACATACATTACAATTCTTTTTATGTTCCCTTTGATCATATTGTAACTCAAGATTTCAAGTATCAATACATCGTTGGTCCTCTTTTTTATTTGGTTTAAGCGGTTGATTGTAAAGATAAATCCAAAACAATGCTTTGGACGTACAAAATTATAAAATGTTATTTTCATTTGACATATATCTTTATATATATTGTTAATTTAAGTTATTGTATTTTCAAATAGTTTAAATCATTACCAATTATAATTCTGTTCATTAATTTTCATGTTTAAGGTATTGCCAGATTACCATTATCATATAATGAAAGTTATCAATATCATAACGTTATTTTTATTATACTTCATGTTAAAATGCCATATTTCGATTGGCTAATACGAGGGTGTTAATTTACTCTATCACATGGCTGAGCGGGTGACAATTTTTTTTAATGTCACCCTCTCGTCCAGACCAATCAAAAATCGATAATTTAAAGGACAATGAATTGAATTTACATCAAGTAATTAAATACAATGCTTAAGTTCTACGTTTTGGCTCAGATTTTATTATTTGACTGTCAAAATAAAAAAATAAAACATCTTGCCTCACTATTTTTGTTTTTTTTTAAATACCCGTAACGTTGTTATGTACGTGACGTCATAGAAAATACTTTTACAATAAAATTAATCTGTAAATGACAATAATGATAGGACAATCAGTATAATAAATTAAATAACACATAGCTGAGAGGGTGATAGAGCAGATTGGTACCCCTCGAAAAAGCATTGTCAACCTTGGCTTCGCCGCGGTTGACAATGTTTTCTCGGGGTAACAATCTGCTCTATCACTCTCTCAGCTATGTGTTATTTATATAATGACTGTGGTTACAATGTAATATTAAGCTTCAAAATAAACAGTGAGCAAAACGAGAAGATAGTATGTTTATTGTTTTTCTTCTTGGATATCTCTTGTTCTATCTGTAAAACAAAACAAAACTATTCAACGATATTCATTGGTTATCAATAACTAATGACGTATATCTATGATCATTCCAATAACAAATTATAAAAAAGGTATATGTATAAGTATGTTTAAATCGAAATTTCATATAATGTTGTGTTTTTCAAACCAATTGTATTGCCATGTAGCTCAAGTATATGTGTTGTTATCGAAAAGCTTAACAGCAGTATTCAAAATGAAGATTAAGGCTGGCCAACCAAAACAAATTATTTTCATATATCGGAAATCTTGGCAACAAACATTAATTTAAAGAGGAAATACAAATTCACCGTAAATTGTTCGATATTATTTTTCACTTCCCGGTATTTAGCCACATTATCAATCAAGTATAAATTGTCGAAAAAATACAAGTATTTTTACTGATGTTCGTCGTGCTAAAGTGTAGTCACTTTCAATGCAACCACAAACCGGAGAATATGACTTGCAATTATTCAAAAGTGTAAACGCTAAAAAGCAGAACATATTTGATTATTATAAGGCATACAAATAGATAGATAACATATTGAAATTCTTGAAGATGTTTTAAAGGTACATAAGTATTTTTATTTAATGGTCAGGTTGCAATCGGGATTTCGAGTACACAGTATTCTTAAGCTTAAAATTTAAAAGCTCTTAATGGAAAAATTCCTCTCTTTATTTAGAGCAAGCTGTAAACGATCTCACAAGTTTGTTGATATATCACATTCTTCATTTCCAGCGTTTATGCTTTCGTAACTAAACTTTTATTCTAGTTAATTCAGTTATCAATATACATTAATATTCAAAAAAATGGAAGAGGTTTAACACCACAATAACAATAATGTCCAAAAGTTAACCGAGGTATAATATAGCAATTTGATCACTTGGAGGTATCCCATCCGGCGTTATTCGTATGACAAAGAGTTGCGTCGGTTTATCTGTGGGTGGATAAATACATAGACACGTACAGTCGGAATTGGAATGCTATTTCGATTTTTCTTGGCAGTCCAAATTGCCAATTCTTTATACTGGTCAACAAGACTTACTGAATCTACACAATATACCTATCGGTTGTACTGTTTATTTGATATCTCGTCCTGAGTCGGTATGTATTATTTGCCAAAGAATGTTGAACAGGAAACAATCAACCAAATAAATGTTATTGCGTAATATATCCAATTTAGACATATGAGGCAAATCAATGAATTAATCGTCACATGCCAAAGAGTTGCGCCAATGAACTTACTAGCAAACTCTACATTTGACGTTTTCATAGCTGCTAATTATTAATCTCACCTATTCGTTGAACAGGAACTATGCTTTTGTCCGTTTGGTTTTCTTGAACCATCTTTGAAAACAGTACAACATGACTGAAATTACATATATAATAATAATCTAAAACATCTATAAACTATACATGTCGTTCCTTACCACACATTCATTGCAAGTATTTAAAAGAATATTTTGTTTTGTGATATTTCTATATCTATACTCATTGCTGTGTTGATGTATAGTATTTTTATGTTTATTTGTATATATCAGTCTTCTTTATAAATTGTTTCGGCGTGATATTTTTTTCTTGGTTTTTGAAGCTAATTTAATCGATGTCTCTTCGAATCGTTAATTGTAGCACAAGGCCAGTATCAAACAAAAAATTGAGAATGGAAATGGGGAATATGTCAAAGAGACAACAACCCGACCAAAGAGCAGAAAACAGCCCAAGGCCACCAATGGGTCTTCAGCACAGCGAGAAAATTCCGCACCGGAAGCGGGCTTCAGCTGGCCCTAAACAAAAATGTGTACAAGTTCAGGGAAAATGGACGTCATACTAAACTCCAAAACTTATAATTGAACTAAAATTAAAAATCATACATGCCTAGTTGAACACAAATATAAACAGTAAAAGATTAGGTAAATTAAAAACAAGAAAAAATAAGTCGAACTATGATAAGGACGAAAAATTAGGTCGGTACTTACACTGTTTTGTCTATATCTACAATACATTTTCCATTTGGTTTTCTGTTGTAAGCACGTTCTATCTTTACATTGGTTTCTTCATCATAAGACTCCCATTGTTCATTAATGTTCTGATACTGCCAGACTGACGTCACTGGTTTCGCTGTGGAGGTATAGTGTATAGTTAATTATGGGTAATTATCAAAACTTTTGTTATCATTCTTTTCATTTCCACTTATAACGTTCTGATTACCTGTCAGTAACAAATATACAAATCTGCTTACCCTTCCGGATAACCTGAGATCATCTCCGGATTTTGGTGGGGTCCGTTTTGCTCAGTCTCTGTTTTCTATGTTTTGGTTTGTGTATTATTGTTTGTTTTTTCTTCGTTTTTAATACCATAGCATTGTCAGTTTGTTTTTGACTTATGAGTGGTATTTTTCGCCTATTTTACCTTTTATTATCTCCTTAGTATATACATTTATTTCAAAACCCACGAACTAATACTCTAACGGTACGCAGTTGATGTTCCACTTATTCTGCGTATTTTTTGTAAGGATGACATTGAGGATTAGATACATTTCATTTTAAAATGTCCCACTTATAAAAGTCTTAGATCTTACTTTTATCAAATCTTATTATTGGAGAAATACCTTCTATGTATAAATATAAACAATTATTGAGTTCTAATAATCTTAAAGAGATATGTAATTCGGGTAAATTTATATTTCGTGCCCAAAAGTTAAGAATTAAGATCTGACATTTTGTAATATGTTTCACACTACCTTCTGCTATTCTGTCTATACTATTGTAGTTTATTTGTTGTATGACTATAAAAATAGACTATTACTGTTATAACTTACTTTTGCTAGCGTGAGAAGGTAGAATAAGAGGTAAATCTGGCGTCATATCCTGTCTGGTATTCTCCTCATCCTCTATTATATCAGGTGAACTTAATGACCGACCATGCTCACTGCATGAATAAAAGTAGGTTAGAAAATACAGGAATGTGCGTTTAGATTTTTATATTTATGCATATCAAACTAGAGTTTTTCGAGCCAAAAGCTATCTACAGAAAATGTTCTTATTAATGTTATTTATGTAATTACAAAATAAAAAAAAATATAGCAGAAAAAAAAGATAGTTTAGCAGTCGTAGAAAAAATCTAATTCTATATTTCAATGTGACATTCTTTCTTTAAGATATTTTGGGATATTTTGGTTATTATAATGCTCTTATTTACATTTAGAGAAATCTTAACCTTACATCAGTTAAAGATTATATATAAATTTGGGATCATCTTAAAGTCACTTATGATACCGAGCTGATAATTTAGTACGCTTATGCGAGTATCGTCTCATCAGTGGTACTCGAGTCAAAACGGTAGATAGGACAAATCCATTACGAAGTTAAAGAGCGTTTGAAACTGAAAATTGCAAAATATTGTGTCAAATCTGCATAAAGCCATCAATCTCTGGCTGTAGAAAAACCATAGAATTTGCCTGTAACGTTTTATTAACAATACATAAACAGAAAAGGATCGTATGAATGATATTAAATGTCGGTACCGAAATCCTGACTACTTGGCTGGTGATAGAACCCTCGGTTACTCAACTTAAATAAGCAGCTAGCAAGAATGACTTCACAACACACATTGAACAAATCATGGACGACAATAACAATATGAAGAGCATAACTGACACGTAAATAGTAGTTACTTAAAATAACCCTTAGAATGTCTTGAAAAAAAACAAAAAGAGTCTTTAAGTTGAATAAAAGATGTCATGAGCCCGGAAATTTATATACGATCCGGGTAAACTTATCAATCCTTCAAATAAACTTATTCTAAAGGTTACCAATTCAACACTGTAATTAGATCTTTGAATATTGTTTTATTGGTATAAATATTGATTTTATTATCAGTAAATTAAAATGATACGAATAGTTTTGCTATACACATATGCACTTTAACGGTACTACAATCTGTCGATCGTTTGGCATTTTGGCATTGCACAAGGTCATGTTTTTCTCTTACTGTTAATGACGTCTTTACACTAAATTTATTGGATGTTGGATGTGTACTGATTGATATTTTAGTCTGGGATACATGATTTTTTTTATTAGTTATTGGCTTTGAACTAGCTGTCAGTAACTGCGAGTACTCTCAGATCTGTACTTAGTGTCCTTTTTGTTGTTAGGGAAAAAGGATGGGTAAATACCCTGCCACGTCCGGTTTGTGTTTATGTTTGATATTTTTCTGCTTTGTATCAATCTGATGAGTTAAGCCTTTTTCATCTGATTTTTATAGTTTGTTCTTATGTTGTACTGTTATACCACTGTACCACATTAGTGTGTGTGTGTGGGGGGGGGGGGGGGGGGTTGAGCGCTCACAAACATGTTTAACCCCGCCACATTCTTTATGTGCATGTCCAAAGTCAGGAGCCTGTAGTTCAGTGGTTGTCGTTAGTTCATGTCTGTCAAATTTGTTTTTCGTTAATTGTTTTGTTATACATTAGGCCGTTAGTTTTCTCAATTGAATTGGTTCATATTTTTTATGTCGGGGCCTTTAATAGCCGACTATACGGTATGGGTTTTTGTCATTGTTGAAGGCCGTACGGGTGCCTATAATTGCTTACATCCACTTCATTTGAATTTTGGTGGATAGTTGTCTCATTGGCAATCATACCTCATCTCCTTATTTTTATATATGTGTTTGATTATTTTGTCATTTTTTAAGTTTGCCGATATTTGTGTTTCTTTCTATGTAGTTTAATCTATCAAGATCAAGATGTAGTCTGTTACAAATTTTATCACTTTGTAATTGAATAGAAAACTGTTTTATACAAACCATACTTCCACTTCAAACAAGTTCTCACTTGCAAACTTGTATATACCAAGTCTACCTCTATCCCAATAAACCTGTAAAATATGCATTTCAATTTGCCTATGCAGAGTTTGGTTATATCAATTTATCGTAGCCTGGTAGCTGGGCTTCCAAAATGTAGTATATTACAAATCTTTCAACAACAAAAAAATCTCACAAAACAGGATGTACTGTTTGCTTCCAAAATATCGCATGTGAACTTGAATTTTGTTTTGTAAATGGCTGTGAAATAAACAATTAAAATAAAAAAAACTTGGACATTTCTGGATAACACAAAACCTGACCTCATTTTCACAGAAATAAAGAAATGTACAAGTTTTTGATACTAAAAGCCATCATACAACAATTTCTAAGTTTACATACAACATTTTGGAAGCAAACTTTACAAACAATTGAGATTGACAATTTAGTAACATGTCTTATTTTAAATGTTTTGATTGGTCTAAATGTATGATATTTTGGAATATCAGAGATGTCCTCCCGCCAAGCCGATTTGTGTGAAAAAGTAGTTTTAGCAACAACAAAAATGCATGTACGACATTTTGGAAGCCCAAAGACGTTATATTGTACACTGTTATATTAATATGTATTCAGATACATGATTTGTTTCCATACTTTAGCTGCATTTGTTCAATTTGGTCGGTTACTATTTTACTCTTCAACTTTGTACTTGTTTGGCTTTATAACTATTTTGAACTGAGCGTCACTGATGAGTTTAATGTAGACGAAACGCGCGTCTGGCGTATTAAATTATAATCCTGGTACCTTTGATAACTATAATTACCAAAGGAAAAATCTGAAACACTCTTCAAAGTGGAGATCCTTTAAGAAACATATATGATCCCATTTGTGACCTCCCGAAAAATATGTGTGCTACCACTAGCTAGATGACTAGTACTACAACTAAAATAAAATGGTGTCTTCATTTTTCCACCAGAGAAAGCGAGTCTGTACTGCACTTGTTAATTCCAAAATGCAACGTTTGCCAAGATTATTAACGTTATATATGACATTTTAAAAAGTATTAAAGAATATTTTATCCTTATATGACAAGCTGGGCCATACAATAATGTAATTTTCGGATTTAATATAAAAATCTAAATCTATTGCATGAAGTAGCCAAAATTTAAGAAGCCTATACACACATCAATATGGCTTTGTCGACACTCTGAATGACAGAATGACCAGAGTTTGTTATTATTGTAACATACCACAACTTTGCCGTCTGTTTCAACACGTAACACTGTTCCTCTGCTGCCTCGTCCTCCATCCTGTTCGCCGTGTTTCCAGTCTTTACCTTAATATATAACAATTGTATTTAAATACCAGTTCGTTCAATAGCTGGTACCATCCGCCCAGTGTCCCGGTACTGGCATGATTTTTTGGTAAGTTATCAGTTAATAAAGTACACCAATGTGCTAAAGTGTAAACGTTCTTATGAAAATTTCCTCCTAAATATTTTTATTGGGTCCTCTTGTTTTTATGCTCACCATTTTGTCATACTTTTAGAGTTCAAACATGTTTTGCTACCACTGGGTTGCTACCGCAACAGGTGGATTGCCAGTCCTCATATGTACCACTCTCTAAGAAGGTAGTACGCCCGTCCGGCATGATTTAATTGATACACTTTTATTATTTCAATTTCATAGATTATGTAATTGTACTTAAATATAGGGTCAGCTCCCAAATGAAATGTTGACATATGTTGGTAGGCTGCTTTTTTTTGTTCATCTTGCTTTGCAAACGTTTCATATTTCAAACTTTCGAAACTTTTTTCCTGTAGTGCTTCTGATAAAGTTTATTTCTTGTGTCAATTGCATTATTCTTATCATACAGTTTCTAAGTGTCTTTGAAAAATGTGTTTGTAAGGTTTACAATATCGTCCTTTAAATCTCAGCTCCACCTACAATCAACATTTATTTTGGTGTGTTTTCAAAAAAACAATAATAAAACACAGAAATGTTCCTTTTTATCGTAGTCGTTCTTGATTTTAAACTGATTTAAACATGCCGAGAACCATGAAAAAAGTATGCAATGCTTACTTTAACGGAGCAAATGACTTCAAATCCGAAATATTTGTGCGGGCATGCTGCTCAATCTAAAGTTTATGTCTTGTGTTTCTTTAATATTTTGCTTTTTCGTCTGGTTTTGTTTGTCCATAAATGTTTGATTTTTTTTTCACCTCCTTTCATTTTCGATTTGGGGCAATCAAACTTGAACTACATACGGATTCTACTTGAATACCTCTTTTAACTTTGCATCCTACACCAATCATCTCATCTATTAACCTTCTTGGTTCATTTACTGGTTTAATATCAAACACTTTGATATTTTCATCATACTGGTAACAGTTTTTGTGACCACTGTCCCATTCCACCCATATCTTACCTGAAATGAAAAAAAAGAGTCCAAGATTCTTACAAAGTAGCCATGTGCAACTTTTAGAAATTATTACTTACGGAGTAATCTGTTGTACAACACTACAATTTACAGAGATGAACATAGTAAACTTGAGAATGGAAACGGGGAATGTGTCAAAGAGACAACAACCCGACCAAACAGCAGAAAGCAGCCCCTTTCCCCGATAAATAAAAATAGACATGTTTGTGTAAATTAACACATCTTTGGTCATGATCTTTTATAGAAATGTACCTGAAATATATTAGATAGGTAAATATTGTGATGTTGTGATATGATAATGTAAAATCTTATCTTTTTTATTTGATTGCTACAACACTATCATAAAACACACGATGATAAATAAATGATTGAATGCACAAACCATCTTCATCATCCCCGATAACTGTTCCCGCCATATTTGAATCTTGATTTCTCCAGTGCCAATTTGGTCCGCGTCGAACACGTGTTCCTAATTGTACTGCTGTCCATTTAGTTTGCTTGAAGTACCCACTGTACTGTGTTAAAGGATCAAGTAAGTGCATAACATTGTCTGTTACGTCATCCTGTTCAAATGAAAACTAATGTAAGTTCTTGCTAAAAAGGTATCAACCAAACATTAAAAAAAAACGAACTGAAAGGTAAATCTAAAAAGGGGAAGTCATTCAATGAAGACTGAACACATCAAACGTTAGACTTTGTCAACTTAAAATGAACTTACGATAATGTCACAGATTGTCATAAAATTTTGCATACACCTTTGGATCGTTGAACTGTATATGAATATCGAAAAAAAGAATGCCTTTATCTCTGAAATATTATTGATTGAATTCTTTCAAAATAAATTTTTACTACATAGACTTTTGTCTTAAAAAACTATATGTTGTTGGTACAGAAATTTCCGTTTTAATGATGTAAAATAATTATAGGGTCACCGACTTCGTTTTTACGGTATACATCAATCAAAGTGGTGTACTAGGTGAAAAAATACCAAAAAAAAAAACGTAGAAATAATCGTAACGTCATCGCGTTGTAGACCGTAAAACGTTTTTCACTTCCTACACGATAACGGAATGGTTAATACACAAAAAACGAAGTCGGTGACCATATCATTATTTTATAGAATTAAAACGGAAATCTATGTATTAAAAATTGAAAATTTGATGATTTTAAGGTAAATTTATGAACGTTTTTCGTCGATTTCATGTGCTTCCTATACAAATGTTCACCTATTATGAAAGAATTCAATCAGTTATATTTCAGAAAATAAAAGAGATAAAGGTATTATTTTTCGATTTTCAGATATAAATCAACGAGCCCAAGTTATATGCAAAATTTTTACCAAAATCTCTGACATAGACCATACTGTTCCTTGACATAAAAATAAGGTTGCCAATTCATATTCCAGATAAATAAGCAAAAACTTATCCTGTTTATCATGTTTCTATATTATCTGGCAATGTAATAATTCAAAACATTAGTATTTCATACCATTAGAACATTTTTACATTGAAGTCGTTAATAACATTAATGGTACCGATTTTACTGCACCAAATGCGCATTTCAACAATGCATGTCGTTTCAGTGATGCTCGATGCCAAAATATTTGAATATCCATAATCTAATACAAACGTTGAAGATTGAAAAACTGATCAAGCCAGAAAGGACCTTAAGTAGGTAACAAATTATATGTATCGCTCTATTGCGCTTATAAATAATCTTTCCTTATTTTCGAACAAAGGTGAACAAAATTGCGTAATTGCATAATATATGTACTTAGAGTGTCTATATTTTGCCGAAGATACACAGTCAATCTTTTAAATTCATCTAGTAGTTCCTGCAAACGGTCAACCGACAGAAGAATATCTGAATTTTTTGGTGTAGCCAACGAACATTCGTGCCACTCGTTATATCGAAAAACGAAACTGTAAATAATCGCGTGTAACAAATTATAAAAATTATAATGCTAACCATCATTTGTTTTTTAACCTTTTTTCATTATTTTTTAACTGTTTGTCTAAGCTGATGTTGTTTGCGCAGAAGAAGCCCCTATCCGTGTTTTTCTTCTGTACTCCGCTTGTTTTGATGGCCACGCCGTTCTTGTAAATGCTTTATCACGGTGTCTTAGTTTGAACAAAGTGGCTAAATATCGAGAGCATAGGTATAAGGAATACTTTTAAATACAATGTTTTGTTTAACAAATATGAGGAGAAATGATATTGGGACTTGTCCAGTACTTTTGTGGCAACGAATGTATTCATAAGGCAGAAAATTCATAATGGGAATTCCTTTGAGGGTTGAGCGTTGTTGGCATATTGAATGACTATATTAAGTGCCTGTTCTGGTTTATTCAATTTCATGTCATCGTCGTCAATTAACAAGCAACAAGAGAAAGGTTAGTTAAAAAAACGACTGCGAATTTGATATTCTTATTTGCCAGTAAAGGCGTTTGCATAGGACAGAGCTATATTCGTTCCAATTGTTGTTCTGTTTAATTATAGATACTTTTCATCATTGGATATGAATTTATTTCATTTCAATGCCAAGACAGACTAAACCTTCAGTTTGTGGTTCCAAAGTTCTACGCGAATCCAAGATATGTATACAATATCCCTTACTGTTTTCACTGGAAATTTTATTGCTTTCGTATTTTTGTACTTTATTTGGCCTTATTTACTCCTTTATTTTTTTTTAATCGAGCGTCACTGATGAGTCTTTTGTTAACGAAACGCGCGTATGGCATACGAAACTCCGTGAATCTATGATGTGTTTATTGGTACCGAAATAGGTATCATTATCTTTCAGTATCCCACTTCTCTCTATATATAAATACATTTTGCGTTTGAGTAATATGTTTTCCTATATCGATACATGTGTAAAAATTAAAAACTCAAATAACTGAAGTCATAATATATCATTTTCTCAAAGCAAACTTTTGAACTGAGATGCATTACTTACAAAATCATCAAAATCCTGGAGAGTTGCCGAACGTACGACTGTTTTAACACTATTTCTGTCAATATCTGTTGCGGTCTCCAACTGGTTTGCAATTTCTGATGCGTGGTACTGGAATATATACGAGGCATAAATGACCAACCAACAATTAAATGGCAGAACATGCGAATAGAAATTTAGTTTTAGCTTATAATTTTCATAGATTAAATAATATTCCATCAGCTTTTGTTGAATTCGAGATAAAAACAAAATTAAAGAAATAGAATAAAAAGAAATAAAATATTCTCTATTGCCGTGAAAAAAAGTATATATACCTTACTTCTGAAATATCAAGAGAAGGTTCTATGCACAATGGAGAAAGCTAGACTAAGTGAAGTATACATAACAAAAAACTAATATAAATAAATATATCTACGTAACGCATCGGTAGTGGTTGACTTCTAGTCCTCGAGTGTATCAATAGTCAGCGCTTTTGTACTGACATGATTTAATTTATAACATACCTTTATTAAATTCACCGTTGATTAATTTCAAACTTATCTAAAATGTAAGGTTCGATCTCACTCAGGCAAAGTTGGCCTTTAAAAGATTTGGCTATTCTTTTTATGTTCCCTTTGATCTTAATCCCATCACTTGTTCATAAATTTATACATCATTGTCTACCACATTTTCGGGTTTGAACGTTCCTAAATCCAGAAAAACGCTTCGAAAGCACCACATTTATAAAGTGTAAATGTCATTATTAAGCACTGAGTCGATAACTGATGGACTGTTAACACTCTAGGGTATAATTAGGTTAGTATGCATTGCGTCGGTACTGACATGGTTTATAACATACTGTTCTCACATTCACCAATGATAAATGTACACATTATAACGAAACTACCTTTTCAACTGCCTCTTGTAAGTTGACCTTAGAAGGATTTGTCTTTCTTTTTAGATACGTTTTGGTCATATAACTCCATGCGTACTTATACATTATATGCTTTTGAATTTTCGGGTTTGAGCATTCGTCGTGAAAGTAAAATATGACAGTGCTTCGGATGCACCAAATTTACAAAACGCTATTTTTATTGTCGGATAATAATGGCCAAAGCAGAAACCACAACTTTGATGCAGACATTTAAACGTTTCGGGGTGGTGTTAAGCGGATTCAACGTACTAATAATCGCATGATTCTTGTTGAATAAATGCCACGCTTACTCTTCATTTTTTTCTGTATATAATAATATTCTTATACATGTATTTATACGTATTGCATTTTTAAACGATTGTAACATGCAAAGTATATCAACCTGAGTTGATAATATAATATTACAAAATGATGTAATTGACGTTATCTTTAAAAGCGATTCGTCAGATTTGCCTATATGAAACAAAAAGGTGAAATACAAACTAGAGTCTGTGTATTTTTGCAGATACGATAAATCTGTTCAGCCGGTACCATTTTCCCACATGTTTTAGTAACTATCCTGCTCAATATCTGAAATTAATCAAATTGTAAGTTTTGTTGTGCTACTAAGCTTTTACACCTAAAATGGTATTTTTTTAATTTTTACCACAAATATACAGAGATTTATTGTGGAATTATGTTTTATTTGAAGGAATTTCATAAAACAATGGTGTATCAAACTAAGATTGTAATAATATTATCATTGGTATTTCCCTTTTATCTCTTTTTTAAGTATAATAGCAAAAAGCTTGTAGAATGTATTTTAGCTTATTTTATTCTTATTAACTTCGATTCCCTGATTTACAGGTTCAAACACTTCGGTACCTTTCTTCTTCTGTTCAGCAAGTTTATTTCTGGCATCGCACAAGATTTATTTTTTCACGCCTGTCATTGTTGTAAGAAATCTCAGTTGAAGTACAGCAATGATATAAAATGCATGTATAATTTCTATTCTAGATAATTAAGCAATTTGTAAAGGGTTGAGGAGTTCTGACGTATCTGTTTAATCTATTCACTATCTAATTGTTCTCCTGTTTCTGATTTATTAAGCTTCAAAACCCTTCCGCATGAGGCTTTCATATAAAGATAAATCTTAAAAGGCTCCGTAAATAACATGTATTAATTTCAAATCAGACTTTTTAAAACGGATCAGCGTCTTTGCCTTTTCATAACGTTCTACCTTCTGGAACGATGAGGATAGATCCACGATATATAAACACTTTATTTTATACTTTCGAAAGATCAGAAGCAATAATTAATAAATTTGATAATGATTATAATTGGACAAAATGAGTGCGGTAATTGCGTGCTCTGTATTATCATTTAAACCAAGACGTGTTAAATACTATTCAAGATACCCATTTTACAACTTGCATCATATCATAAATGAAAAAAAAAATAACTCATATCTATATGTTGATCAATTGTCAGGAAATGTGTTGCAGCTTATCTGAACTGTTATTCCTGAAAACTTACATCTGTGTTTGCTGATCCGATTGGAACACAGAATATTCTTATACCTCGCCCTGCAATATCATTCACTACTCTGTGTAATTCTTTGTCTCTGTCTAAATTAGTCTGAAATGAACAACAATGGAAGCCCGTTTCAGTTTTAACATATTGAACAGAATCAAGCCTGAAGGAAGCATGACCCCGCACAACTGTTTTTACAAAGCATGTTGTTTATAGTAGTATGAGATTTTCACTCCCACAATTATGAGCCCTTAAGCCATCGTTAATATCATTTTTTTCCCATTCATAGGTACACACAGAAAAATATGAGATTACAATGAATCAGTACAGCATGAATACAAACTGAGTAAAGCAACATGTGTAACGATTGGTAATATCTATGGATTCTCCTTGGGCTATAATATGCATTAATCCTTTTGCAAAAATTTCATTTTGCACGCGACGACTAAGAAGGTTTTCAGATTGAAATGAACAAAAGTACTGCTTTTCGGAGAAAATGTTACATCAGTGAAAACATTATCGTAAAATGAGTAAACGTCTCGCTAAATTATCTTATCATAAAGCTATTTTCAAAGCGTACAAACGCAAATCATTCTTCTCTTAAAACTTGATGCATTTTTTATTGACATAAGTTAATAATACTGAAACAAAGCCTTTGAATTGTGATAATTTTGTTAAGCTTCTGCAGAGCTTGGTTTTTGTTGGAATGAAAAATTATAAACTATGACATTCCAAGTATCTAGGCTAGTTATTTCAAAATACAAGTTGCCCACTATTGTCGTCGAAAAATGCCTATACCAAGTCAGAAATATGGCAGTTGTTTTTCACTTGTTCCTTTGATAGGTAGTGTTTGATGTTGTCAGTTTTTTATGGACTTCTCCTTTTTGAATTTGCCATGGAGTTCGGTATTTTGTTATACTTTTTTGCAAGCATTGTAATGGTTAAGCTGTTTTTTTATTTATTTATTAATCTCATTTCATATCATGATTCTTTTTTCATGTTATTCTTGTTATTTGCTGTCTAGATGGTACGACACGGTTGAGAGTCTCCGCCAGCAAACAAATCCTGGACGAAACTCGATTTGTATGTCATTATACATAATTGTACCAATTATCAGTTATAGATCAACAACAGACATTACAAAATAGTCCAGACAAGAACAGTTTTTGAAGGGCAGTAATTTTGGTAAAATTATGATGAACGGAACCAAATACAAACTCGATCTGTAAGTCATTAATAATCCCTAATGTACAGTACAAAAATAAGACCAATATCTCCTGTCATAAAGAAACATGTACGACAACTGTTCAATTTGAAGAGGACGGAAGGATGCAATGATGGACAAGGGTAACATAATATGCCCAGCCACATTATTGAAAACCGTATGTTGCCCTCTTAATGTCTTTTGGTTATATTCGTCGTTGTGTTGCTGTCTTTATGACGTATAACCCATGTCTCATTTTAATCATTAACTATGTTTTGTTTATTGTCTACTATATAAGCCTACTAGATTGAATTGTTCTAAGGTACCAACATATGGTGCTTTTAAAGTAGGTGGTGTTTTTTGTCTTTAATCTTTTATTGATAATGACTGTAAATGATTGGTCTAGATTTTACTGAAAATTAGCAAGTGACACTTTTCATTTAGTCTCCTGTAACATTTCTTTTTACAAAAATTGCAAACCAAAAACATGTTTTGGCCCATAGCAAAGAACTTTGACGAGTTATACTGTAAATAATTAAGAGAATACATTGAGCACAAAAGAAAAAGAATTCAAAACAAATAAAACCCATTTTGTTTTAGATATTAGCGGTTACAGTAGTTGACGGATGTTCAATATCATAAATCAAATCAGGAGATTCAAATCAAGATCAAAAACAAAAACTGGGGCAATTCCATTAACTCCAATATGGATTGAGACTGCTATGCAGGCAGAACCCGCTATGTGAATCCACACTCAGTAAAAATATCACAATCAAGAATAGGACGTAATAGGTAAATTTATAGATCAGACAACTTTTATGCTATCTAGAGAACTAAGACCGAAAAACATTTTGCTAGTAAATTGAGACAAAGCCACATGATAATTGTCAACTATATGTAATGATGACTGTAAAACTTTTTTAAGGTCTTTTTCAGACGGGTTTCTTCATAAATCTGTTGGATTGGTTTTTCGTCAGGTGCAGATCCCTCTAAATGAATTAGTGTGGAAACCTTTTTCCAACGTGGCATCCTCTACATTTATTTTATAATTTTAATGATAAATTTGTGAGTTGACAAACGAAAGCTAGATACTCTTGTTGTTTGCCACAAATGAAGGATTTATGGGTAGAACATTATTGAAACATACCAGTAAAGATGATACTGCTAATGCACTACTAACGCATCCATCCTCTTCATTTAGAGCTTCCATACGAGTAGGCATCCCATCTGTTATCAGAATAATAAACGGCTTGAAGTCGTGATGAACAATATGTGTGGTACCACCTTCGATATAAAAAGGAATATGTTAGAAATTAATGTAAATCTTAAAAAGTAAATATTAAGTATGCGTCAAAACCCGTAATTCTGACAAAATCTGCATCTCAAGTTGACCTAAATTTGTTTTGACTATTCATCTTATGTCCTTTTTGGTTATATTTGCCCATATATGTAAACATATTTGCCATACAACGTATGATGGCGTAGACTGAGAGCGGCCTCGTTGACACGTTGCTGGTTTATTGCAACGCAACGTAGGGAAGCCATTGCCAAATAAGAATGCTATTCAATCTTTCTAGAAACCAAACTGATAGTTATTTGAATATTTATTTCCATTGGCATGTAAATTACCTATTCAACATAGATGTGCTTGCTGTCTTTGCTGCAACAACTCGTAAATATTAGTTCTTCTTCTGACAGCCGAGGTAACGGACACAGTTTTTGAAGTTTAAGTCTCAACCGTCTGATTGCAAATCCCGCAGATAAATTGATATAAAAATGCAAGTGCAAAGAAACGTAAAGTCTAACATTATTGAGCGGAATTAAGAGAAAGTGTTTATATAGTAAACTCTCTGTATGCCTGAAATATACAGTGGAGGCACACAATATATATCGCACGATTACAAATCTAAGGCTCTGATGGTCTAACACAGAATGGCAAAACACTGGATAATGGAAGGTATAAGAATATGATATGTTAACATGCGAATTATCCGGAGAACTCTTGTGATGAAACATTATCATTCCCGTATTCACAAATAATAATTATAAACAAAACCCAAACGCAGTTAATCATATACAGATTTCTTTCATGAACAAACTTACAGTGAGTTAATCCAGACATTGCCATCAGAAGTCCAGCTGTTAAAGGGGATGGACCACCAGCTTTTAATTTTCCTAAAATAAAATTGATAAGAATCACAATTATATCAATAAAGTAACTCATAAACGTACACCAACAGACAAATTCACATATCGCCATATAGAAATCAACATAGTTTGAAAACCAGTGTTATCTATGAGAGATGCAAAAAATATTTTCTATCGTTTTAGTCATCACAACTTTCTTTCGATTTCTGGAACATTTACGACTGTAGTGAATGCTAACAGTATTCACCTCATATGTTGAAGGTGTTACATAGTTACGTTTTTCATTTTGTAGTTCTGGAAAAGTTTATACCAATATTATTCTCAAGACCTTCTTCCACTTTTTCTATAGTGAATCTGAGATATAAGATTCATGATCTTAAAATATCAAATGTTTTGATAACTGCAGATGCTTGCTTGTAAATTATATCTGAATAAAAGTAATTAATAAGGGAACACAAAAGTTTTCGGTAACATTTTCATGTTTAAAATTGTTTACTTCAATCTGTTACCATTGTCTGAGTTATGTTTGAATTTTTATTTCGATTATCGTTTAAGATATATTCTCCTTTTGAAAATAAATACATGTAAGAGTAACTAAGGAAAACATTCAAAGTGTGTCTGGTGTAAGTCTTTTTTTTTATGGATAACTAAGACATCTAAAAACTTGTGCTGTCAAAAATGTCTATGAATTACAAATCATGTAATCTTATATGAAGCTAACATTTTCCTTTAATTTCACATTGCAGTACATGTAGAATGACCTCGTACTAAATATTTCAATGTTTTGTAACTGTGTTGGATACATCAATATATCCTATTGATTAGTATAGTTTTCAACTAGAGAATGAAATGTCAGCATTTTACAATTTTCCAAATTTAACTATTGGGAGTGCTCAAATAATGCATGCATCATTTTTGTTACCTATTTCTCTCTTGATGTCGTCATAATCCGCTAGAGGCGGAAGAATCAATTTAGTTTCTGCTCCAAAACATGCTAAACCGACATTGTCCCGAAAATTGTATCTTAAACCGTCTCGATGCAGACCTGAAGTGCAGAAAGAGAAAGAAATAGCAGCATAATAAAGGATCATTTCAACCCTTGAGGTCAATGGAAATAATATATAAGTTGGCAAAGTAATCTATATTTATGAAATTTATCATCTAAACGGTGGTTTGTGTTGTTTTGATATTCAGTTCCTTTCGGTGTGACTGTCATTAATATCTTTTGGTCGTAAAATGCTTATGTTTTACAAATCTGTTATTCTATAGTTAACATGTTTTAAGTATTCATTAGTTTCATTAAACTCCTTCGCTCAGTATTGAGAAAAGATAAATAAATGTTTTATAGGTAGAATATCTTGATTCTGTTTATAATTGGGAACGCGCCGTTTGTGAGCCTTTGACATGGGTTATTTTTTTTCTTTCTATCTTTTATCATATATAGATATATATATGTACTGTATTAAACTGAAACAAAATTACAATATTTACCATCGATGTAATTTGTGGCAGTTTTAATCATTAAGTCAAATTTCTCTCCTTGCATACTCTCCGATGTGTCTAGAAGCATCATGTAGTCATGACCATGAGTACTTATTTTCTCAATATTTAACATCATTTTCATGGCAACTGTGTTAAAATAATATTATTTTTATTTAAGATATGATACTATTGTATAACATTAATGATAAATACGACGGTAGTATAGCGAATATGTCAAATATCCAGGTATACAAAACAAAGTCAAGAGTGAACTTGACTCACTAATTACAATGGCACCAGGTAAATTAACAGGGAAAGAGTTAAAAATTTCTGGTATGTATGAGGTATCCGTCAAATTCATATTATGAAGTCAGCACCAAAGCAACAGACAAAATGATACCAATGTCGGATGGACCATAATGTATTTGTAGGATCTATGGAAGAGTCAAAATTGCACTAATAAGAAGAAAACATATGTTCTATTAATAAACAAATTCATGATGGTTAACCGCAAAACTTGTGAAGTAAATCTCAGTTATTCATTCTATATATTTGCTTGAGTAGTTTTTGAGTTAATAATTATTCTCGCAAAGGATTTGGCATATCACATAAATTCAGATGCATGAACGTTATATTCAGATGGCATGTTAATATTTAAACAAGTGAAGCTGACATCATGTAAACTGGATTTGCTGTCATATATCTTGGCTTTATAATGCAAATATGATGTCCTTGTTCTGCTACTTACATAAATTAACTTAAAAACAACATTAATAGTGGAAGACTATAACAATAAACATGATAATTATCTTTCTTAATTATCATCGAACCATTTCAATTCAAACACACATAATTAACTAATCATACGGTTTACCTTCCATTTGTGACTGGGTTGCAATATGTGCCCATTCTAACAGTGAATGTACGTTCTGCTTATTGTCGTAATCTGAAAAATAACAAGAATATTGTAGACAAAGAAGAGTACCAGTAATAACTCATTTTCATTTTTTTTTTATATTTCATGTAACTGAACGGATATTCTCAAATCACTTAACGATAGTGAAAAAGACAAATTACAAAACCTATGCAATTATTGTACCTATTTACCAGTTCAGATCTCACACTACTGATCTGAAGTTTCAGAAGTAGGGTTTTTGTTTGTGTTGCTGTTGTTAATTGTGATATTTTTTATATATAGCTTATACGTTAATGGTTATGTCTACTTGTCTACTCAACACTGATGCAATGAACTTTTTAAACGCATCTTTTTATAATTTGTCCTCGATTCATCTCTATTTATCCACGTTGCAGAGGCCACCTATAGGATGTATTTGTTTATGCTATTCTCGTTCTGAACATGAATAAAATACATGCCACTGGACGCTAAAGACATCAATTAGTCAATAGGGTGTATGTGGTTTTGTTACATTGTCTTTATTTCTTATAATGGTAAAAGACACTAATATAATCACCTCTCTCTGTCATTTGTGCCATGGTCATTATTCCTTTCTGTTTACGAGCAGTTTCTTTACCGGCCTCTCTGTATGACCTTTAATTACAAAAAAACTGATTAAAAGTACACGCACACACACATATATATATATATATACATACATTGATGTAAAGTTGTTGATTACAACTAAGAAATAAATTATTATTAAAATATTAATTGTTTTTATATTTTATTCTCTGAAATTTCTTATCTAAACAAATATTAAATGATAATAAAACATTTCAAATGTTAAAGATTCAATGGTCAATAATTAATGTTATGACTGTTACAAGTCAGCCTTTAATTACCAAATATTTATCAATTTCTATTAACAACATGGAACAAAGATACAGATCAAACAGCTTCAGGTTTTTTTTCAGATTCTGTCCGTGTTGATTTTGGTTATAACATGTAGGTGAAGGTTTTTGTACTTTTCCTGCTATAATTCGGCAATATATTTTTGTTTAATCAGTTCAATATATAGCAACATGCACACTATCGCAATATAGTTTTAATCCTATTATCCTACCTTCCATCCACACCTGCAAGGACTATGTTAGGCTTTGGTTCTTCTTCTATTTGATTATCTATCTTTGGAAATAACAGCTCTCCCTGATAACACCGTTTCTTTTTGCGAAAAAACGTTCTGTTGTCTAGATTATCATTAGTTGTGCATAATCTAAACCCATATTTTGATTTCCTTTTCTCTATTTTCTTATCTACTATTTGTTCTGCTGTTTTTGATTTTACTAACGTGACTTTTGCTTTCAAAGCATCTGGAGAAGAATTTTTCGAAAACGTTGCTGTTTCTGAACGATTTGGAGGCTGTTGTACATTGACATTTGGTCTTTCATGATAATATACTGAATCTTTTGACCTCCGGTGATGCTCTTGTCTTTCCGTATATTGATATTCATCATCTGATTGTTCGGAGGACTTGTCAATAGTTGGTATATCTGAACTGTCTTCTTCTATTTGCATTGAAAAATTGTCACATTCTAAACTGTTTGATTCTATTAGCCGCAGAGTTTTTGAATTTTCTTTTGTTCTTAAATCAGCAATACTCGTAGAAACGATTTGTAGTTTCTGTGTTAGTTTTCCAACAGATTCTAATATTAATTGTAGTTTAGCTGAATTTCTTCTTTTAGTTTCATAAACATTCATCAAACGATTTTCGATTCCTGTCATAAAATATGTTTAATAGCATAACTACCATCTTTAAATAACAAGGATGCGGAAGCTACGTCAATAGACACGAACACAGTATTATGAATACACAAAATATTGACCACTTGTAGTCTTCACGTTTTATACAAATATGGATGGACAAACGAAATGATTAACTCTTAATCGGCCCAAATTCTGCCCAATAACAAAGCCTCCATCAATAAATGGATTATTGATCATAACACTAGGAGGCAACGAAACATTTACAATGACTCTCTTAGGCGAAAATGACGGTAGATCATTTTAACTGTTTCATTTAGTTTTTTGGGGATTGCTTATGTTCTAAAACATTTTATATTACTGGCTTTCCAAATTTTTGGTCACAATCTAACCTGATGAAGGCTATCCCAAAGCACGTAGTGTGCTAACGGGTATCATATCAAGTGTATTGGCTTTTTTTAATTATTATTATTAAAAAAAATTTAATTCAACAATGATGAAGTTTAGTGGTTGATAACCAGTGTATCTGTCTTCAATTAACACATGATGGCTGGTGGCGGTGGCCACGGTGTACAAAGATTCGGTTAAATCGAAGATGATGAAAAAGAATGACTGCTGAATAATGAATTATCAAAGAAAACGCATAAACCTACAAAACTCGCAGTGAATCGATGATGGCTGTCCATAGGACTCTTACTTCGAAAGCAAAAACTTACAAGCAAAAGAGAATTTATCCACAACTTTGTGTACATTACTATGAGCTCAAAGTTTAGAACATTTAATGTAAATAAACTTATCATCGTTAATGTTTTGGAGGTTTATTTGCGAAAAATTATAGTCTTGAAATCAACTTTCACTCGACTATCGGCTTAGGAAATATCCAAATAGCCGTCTTTCGTCAGAATTTCTAGGCAAATATCTCTCCATAACTTTTTATATATATGTTTAAAGTTTATAACATAGGACTAGCACATGTAGACGTAGAAAGGTAAAAAAAAGCTTAATAGATATAAAACTCTTACTCTTTTAGATTATTTTTGGATACATAAAAACACGATAAAAGTCATGTTTGGAAAGCACTCGGTACATTTATATTTAAACAACAAAATGTCGCAGCTGCATATACACAAAAGATTTAAAACGAAGTAAGCAATCACAGATATCAGATTGCGATATTCACCCAGTCGCATTTTTTGCATTAATACAAACCTCGCAATGATGTTATAGAGAAAATCCAAATAACTGTCCATTCCTGGAAAATAATGGAGCCCGTAGGGCCGACGCCCATTTTTTTCCTAAGAATGGACAGTTATTTGGACTTTCGCTAACTTAAAATACACCTTAAATATTAAAAACGAATCTTCAGATTATAACATTTTAAAGAATTTTATTTAATTTTGTAATTGTTTTCTTTTCATTTTCCCCGTGTTGTACCCAAGAATCTGCAGGCAAAATTTAAGATCAAGCTGACCACTCACTTAACGAAGTATTTATGAACAGTAGAATAATTACTATAAAAAGATCTTGAATAAAGTTCATTCAGGTTTATGTTTAAAGTTATTGCATACGCACGTGTTTCTTGTAGTGGGGTTGAAAGGATATTTATTTGTGTCTTTAAGTGGTATTTCGGGAGAGTAAAAAAACTAGTATTTATGCATATATGTTAATAGATTATGTGTGTTTTTCGTTTAATAAATATTGGATGTAGAATCGTCTGTGAAAAGTGAAATGGTACAACTAGAATGAATTTCCAAGTATGTAACACTCTAGTATATGTTATTAACTAATAACGGTGTGTTCGATTTTAATTCATATCGAAAACAAAATATGATTCTATATTTCAAACCATTTTATTCGATGAAATAAAATGAAACAAGAAAACAGTATTTCATGCACAACCCAACATTTCGTCTTTCCCTTTGCTAATTACAACGAACAAAACTTTTATGCATTTTTTTTAAAGAGCAATACAAGCAAACTGAAAGTATTTTTCATTCTTCCCTATTATCAAAAAGTAAGCAAAAAAGGTTAAGAAAAAAAAATCCGCATGGACAACTACCTTTTAATTTCATTTAAACAACTATTTCAACATTAACGCCGTTTATTTGCACTGCCGGTATAATTGTTATTTTTGCCACGGGACATATAACAACAGTGAATGAATTCGATTATGTTACGCGTTTCTGTTGAAAATTGAATAAAAACCCCGCCCAATATTTAACACAAGCCTTATTCAAATGTTATACATAACACCTCAAATTGTATTCATGAGTACTATATTTAAATTATAACAACGAACAATCAAATAAAATACCGAATACGCCATTTTGACCATTTCAGTTTCTTGGACTAATTATTCTGTTAAACCACAATATTATTGTAGAAACTATCCGAGTAATTTTTGTGTTTTAATTTATATATATATATAAATGCAACAAACGATTTTTGCTGTACGAAATCAAAATATTTCAAGGAAATGATATCTTAAACGGTAAAATTAAAATCAAACTTTATGTGAAATATATTTTTCTCTTTACTTTCATTATTGAATAATGTTATTGTGTTCAATATTACAATATAATTCACTAACTCACACACAGTTTACACATTTGATATTTTGTAGATGCACAGAAGAGGAATGGGACTCAATGGAAAATATTCGTTTTTACCCACTTGGATACTATCCGTGACAAAAATTCAGCCAAGATTTGCATCGGAAAACAAATTGTGGATTATATTGTTGAATTTTAGTGCATACGATACTATATTTTACACGATGGAATTAAGACTCGCAAATAAAAGCTGTTTGTTAATAATAAGATATTTAGTGTTCATTGTATTACTATGATCCCAATTTAAAAAAATCCAGTATCAGTCGTTTTAGTAAGATTTCATCTTCATTCAATATCGCGTTACGTCCTTTAAAATTATTCCCATGGGTGAACACTTTTTTAGAAAGTGCCCATGGAAATATCCTAAGGGCAAAACGACCGGATGAATGAAGACGAACAATAGAAAATAACTCTCCATTCCTGAAAAATAATGGAGAGTTTGAACAAAAGATGTACGTCACAGGTGTATTTTAATTTTGAATTTACAGTATATGTATTCCATTCGACGAATATCTTTCAAACTTGTGAAACGTTTTAAATTTGAAAGGTACGTGTGGATAATATATATCACTTTAGAAATTCAGCCCTCATAAATTACGTTACGTTGTCTCACCATCATTTGAAATATATTTAGTTGCAAACAGAAAGCTAAAAGAGTGATATTCCAACATGTTTACAATTGTTATGTAATAACTTAAAAGATTTACCTTCAAGTCTACTTATGTCATTCGTCACTGCAGGGCTGCTTGGAATAAGATAAAACATAATTTTTAATATGATTTAATCGATATATAGTCAGTATCTGATTGATACAAATTACAATCAAGATTTTGTTTTAAACAATTCTTGATTATATCTCAGATTTATGATGAAATTTAATTAATAACACACACACACACACAATAATTATTTGCATCTCCCTAGATTTACTGTTTCTTACTCATCAATGCAAAAATAAGCTTATGTTGATTATGTAAAACTTCATGTTGGTATCAGTAAGGTAAAAAAAGTATTAACAAAAATACCGAACTCCAAGGTAAGTTCAAAAAAGGGAAGTCCATAAAACCGTACAGAATCATAAGCGCCACTATATCAACTAACGAAACGAATGGAAAACAACCGCCATATTACTGACTTGGTACAGGCATTTCCCGAAAACAAGGGTGAGTTATACTTGGTTTTATAGCTAACTAAAACTCTCACATATGTTTTTTTTTAAAAAGATGAAGTCCATAAAATGTGACCAAATCAAACGCTCGTCTATATCAACCAACAGAACGAATGGAAAACAACTTTCAAATTCCTGACTTGGTAAAGGCATTTTTCAGACGAAAATCATAAGTTAAATTTGTTTTATAGCTAGAAAAATCCCACTTATATGACGACACAGCATATAATTTAAAACATATTCGTTAGAATTCTAACCAAATATTGATAACAATTCAAATATGAGTTTTGCATTTTGATATGCAGGTTTATGTACTATACTGTACGCTGTACTACTTTCAGGGAAACCTGGCTTTAAAACGGTTTTATATTCCGATTTGATGGCGTATTCATTTATAAGCCCTTTCGTTGTAATTCAGACATATTATGCATTTTGATTCGAGCATACCTCGAGATGGAAATTTCATATGCATGTATGGTGCAATTTAAGAATTGCACGTTTATATTAAGTCTGACATCAAAAGCAATACACAGTTTTTGGATTTCTTATATATTTTCATCTTATTGAACTAAAACAAAATTGCACTCTACATCGCTTATACTAAATCCCCTACTGCCATACGATAACACTACATTTTTTAACACATACAATTTAATATCTATCATAGAATGGGTTTCCAGCTATTTTTTTAAATTTGTAATATTCATTCCTGTTTCTGTTTCTACTCACACATGGTTCATCTTATGTGTAATCTGGCTTTGTGTTTGCTGCAGATCTTGTATAGTCTTTTGCACCGTGTGCAGCTGAAATAAAAATGAACTGTTAACGTTTTTAACATCTAAATGTATCTGTTGGTGTTTTAAACATCTTATATCGAAAACATTTGAGGATTATACATTGTAATGAACTATCTATCGCATGAACAATCAAACCATATGTCCTTATTTTGATATTGATTACAGGGTTTGTTGCTCGTGTTATGTGGGTTCAGACGAATATGTCTCGTGCTTGTGATGTATGTTCTTATAGTTTACAGTTTGTGAAAGAGCGTTTTGATTTTCATATTGTTTACATCCAGGTCAATTGGATTCTGGTAGATAGTTGTTTAATTTGAAATCGTACAACATCTTCTTATTTTTATATTCCTGTTAATCATTTCTACAAAGTTAATTGTATGAACAACGAAAATGAAACTTTGTTCTGTGATATTCTATTCTAAATAACTAAGCTATTGAACAATGTTATCCTATGGAGGCACAAAAGCCAGAAAGGATCATCTAAAATCCTACCTTTGAAGTTCAGTATATGAATTTAAATTTCAATATCTAGCACGGTGATGTGAAATGCGAGTTTCAACACTTGAATAACCAGTAAGAACTATTAATACTTTAAAATACTACGGCCAATGGATTTCTTAAAAAAAATCGGGTCATTTTGAAATTGAAATGCAACTGTTTAAAATAACATTTACGGTACCAATTTTACTGCAACAGACGCGCATTTTGACAATAAACATCTCTTCCAAAGATCGCCGCCTTACTGACAAACAAACTTGAACTCTATTTTGACGAAATCGCTTTGACCAATAACATCGATTTACAAATAAGATGGTCGAAACACATTAATGAGAGCTGATCAGGTTTTTCATAGAAGCCTATGAAATGTCGATAACTTTCAGTGAACTGGACACCAGTTCATTATTTTTGGAAAAAATATGGCTTTTTAAGGAGAGGAACTCTAATTATAAAAAGCATCCAGGACTGAGTTGCTTAAAACATTTGACCAGTGGAAAGACTGAAACCATTGAATTTGTTGCTTTAGTTTTATCTCTGTTAAAAATTTGAGCAACCAGCTCGAGCTCCAGCTTGAAAATGTATGTTATCGGTTCATTATTAATGAAATTTTAATTTTGAAAGACATTTTATTGGCCACAACAGTTTCACAACAGCAAAGATCTTTTCTGATTGACTACTTTTGAATTAAACTCGAAATTTGACTTTAACTGGTTACTTGTTCTTCACTCACCATATCAGTTACTGTCAACGCCATGACTTTATAAATAGCAAGTAAGAGGTGTATCCTTTGCCACTATTAAAAAGAGAGTAGAAAGTTATAAATATAGGACATAATGTAATATATCATAATATATAAACTGTACTCAATCAATCAATAGAGTGAACTCAAATCTTATTTTTGCAAAACATAGTGAAGATTGCAAATAGTTTCTGTTTAGATATTGCGAAATTTTGTTTTTGTCTCGGTGCAATTTCTAGATTGACATTTTGTATCTGTCTATCGTTGAAAATTACATATTAACCTCTAGATGACTTTTTTGTTGTTTATTTTTTGTTTTTATCGTTCGGTTTCTGTTATATTGTACGTGTTTACCCCCAACATCACCGTTGTGTCCTACGTTACATCTTAATAAAACACCCGGAATTAATGTGTTAAAATACAGATTATACAATAGAACAAGCAAATTTTCTTTCTAACAGATACTCTGTCTGAACACTCTTAAGCCGTCTGTTGTATACAACGCAGTTATACCAAATAAAAGAAATATGTGAATGTTAACACGAGAATATCACCAGAATACAGTGACTGATACAGGCATGATATGGATAGAGACCTTAGGCAGATGTCAGACTTAGCGTCATGCATTGCCTCTGCATTGCTCATGTACAGACGCGTCACTATTTTTTATTGTACATGTTATACGAATAATATAGTGAAGGTGAAATATCTTTTTGTTATGTTCAAATTGCAGTTATATACATATTGTGTTCCTATTGAGGGTTGATTCATATGCATAGTTATTTCTACATATTTATCGAGTGTGTTTTGAGAAAGAAGAACATACTTTCATTTCTAATTATTTTCCAGTCACATGAATAGGAGTGATAAAAATATATGTTCTAGATGTTCTTAAATAATCTAGATCAAGGCATTATAGACATACCGAAGCTTGAAACATTGCTTATAATGTACTTACATCTATTACTTTTGTGTTCCGTCATTGTTTGTGAAGAAGTTTGTACTTTCGGTTTGAATGTTCTGCTTCCTGTTCCTGATTGTTTAAATGAATACAATTTTGAATGGTTAAAAATAGAAATTATAATATCTAAAAATAACTTACGACTTAAAGTGTATTTTGACATTAAGACTATTTTTAAACATATATACATTTGTACAGTATACGTGGTCTAATTTATTTATAATTTATACATGAGTATATATATGAATATATATATATATATATAAAACGTCTAGATATTAGTCAACGATCTTTCTTACAAGAGCGCTGGATCGATACGAGTAACGATACATGTACACAATAAATAAATTATATAAACGCCTAAAAAGTGTACAAAACAACACCAATATTAAAAAAAGGAAAGAATAAAAATTTAAGTATCTATTAATATTTCGGATATCCTTCATCAGTATGATTATAATGTAAAATGAATCATGTCAATCTATTCTGATTCAACTATATCAATCTTGAAATTTATCCAAACCGAACACAACAACGCTTGTACAATTATAAAATTTCAAAAATGACGTAGGTTATATAGGTATTTACAACAGAGACTGCATAGATATGCTTATAATAAAAATAGTAATGTGCGATACGAACTGGTACATTTTTAAAATTTCAAAATTCTAAATTCTAAAAAGGTGACGACAGCTAAGATATGACAACAAGGACTGCGTACAAATACATTCCCAATGAAAAGCACTGACCGATTTGAGCTGATATAATATTTCAAATTTCACGACGGTAAAGTAATAACAACAGAAGCTGCGTATTTAAACATCTCAAATAAATAGCAGTTTGATAATGATTAAAAAAAATTAATAATAATAATAATTTTGACAAAGGTTAAGTAATTGAACGTGGCTGCGTACTTATACATCCCAAATGAATAGTACCCTGCGATTTAAACTGGTATAAGTCTGGAATTTTAGAGTTGACGAAGGTAAAGGAATAGCAACATAGACTGCGTAGTAATATGTAATGTAACCCAAATGAAAAGCATTGCGCGAATTAGAACTACACCTTTTCATTGATCCCATTTGGTGCCAAAGTTCTTAATTTTCTTATCCAAAATCTTTCCCGAGTGAGTCTATATCCTCCCTTGACCAAATAGTGTTGTGGTCTATGATTGTAATGGTCAGTCGATTGAGATATTATAAATATATATATATATATATATACATTACATCAGTATTGTTAAAACTTTTAACACTGAGGAAGGCCATTTGTTGAGCCGAAATATTTGCAATTATTGTATAATTTATATCATCTGTTCAGTTTTTCCATCTTTGTGCGATGATATTCAACACTTTTTAGTCTTTTGTTTTCCATCTATTTATCGGTATTGTTACACAATCTTTTAGACTCATATATATATATATATATATATAAACGCCTGAAAAGTGTACAAAACAACACCAATAACAAAAAAAAAAAAAACTATAAATGTAATTATTTATAGATATTTCGGATAACAGATATCCTTCATCAGTATGATTATGATCATGGATGTCAAATGAATCATATCAATCTACTTTGATTAAACTATAACAATCTTGAAATTTATACAATAAAACAGTTAAACCGAACATCATAGTTTAGACGTTTGTACAATTATCAAAATTTTAAACATGGCATAGGTTATATAGCTATTTACAACAGAAACTGCCAAGATATGCTTCAAATAAAAATAGTAATGTGCGATATGAACTGGCACAATTCTAAAATTTAAAAGGTATATAAAGCGAGACATTATACACATGACATACTTATTTATTGTATTTTCTTTCGAATTTAGATAATGTCAAAATGTTGTGAGTAGATTATTTCATATTTTTTTTGGTGTATTTCCATAGCTCCCCATAGTTCTTTTATTTAGATTAGATTATTTGAATGCAGATACAGTTTTCGATGTTTTTTTTTTTTAATTTCACTGGTTATTGGATTCAACACTTTTGGACCACTTATAGAAAAAAATCATTTGTATAACTCTGTATCTAATGGCAAAATACGAGGATTTTTTACTATCTGTAGGCACAATAAGATTTGATAAATATTTGGGTGCAATTTCATCTTTTGATTTATACATTAATAATGACTTTTGATAAAGTATTCTCTAAGTTACGAGAAATATTCCAGATTCCTGTAATAGTTCAATAGATAATTTTCGAATATTGTGTTCTTTTATAGCTGCCCCTTATGCAATTCAGAAAACTGTCAATTAGAAAAATATGATAACATTCTTGCATTATGAATCAAATATTTATTGATTCTGTTCAGTATTGCTAATGAAAAATTAAATGTTTTGATAACATAATTGATATGATCATAGCAAGGCAGACTTGCGTTAACAAAAATACCAAGGAAGTGTTCACAGTGACTTAGCTTAATATTGTCATTGCACATGGTAGATAGTTTCTGATTTTGGCCCTATGCACATTCTCTTATCTTTTGTCACATTTACTAGCATTTTGTTTTTATCACATCAATGAAAAATATTTTCTAATACAGTTTTTTGTCTGAATTACATACCTTTTGTTGTTTTCTCTAATCAAAGAAACTATTCTATCACTTTAGTAATGTTTTCTTCTCTTTTGCTATTTGGAGTATCTACATTTTTGTATTTATGCAACTTCCTCTTTCATATCAATATTTCTGTTGGTTACCTTTACATATTTAACTTCTTGGAATACAACATTTGCTTTGTACCATAACGTTATGAATTAATAACAAAAGCTTTGTTATTAGAATCGATGTGCGATTTAATGACCTATGTCTGTGCAAAAACTTCTTCAAAAAAAGATAATGCTGAAGTAGTTTGACCTTTTATTGTATTTGACATGGAAATAAAACACAAGACCTGTTGCTGTCGACTCATCAAGTGTGATTAATTATAAACTGGTCCTTCACAAATTACGAAAATACATGTTCTTATACTTCTCTTCATAGATTTACTTCATATTTTGCCGACTAATATATCTGTTTCCTGTCTCTAGCCATTAACAAAATGTGCCCATCGTGAATGTGTCTATCATCCTGACAAAATCTGGGAAAGACTCACGTCACTGCCAGTACCAACATACACTACACATCCGGTAGATTCCGCATTCACGATGCAACTTTTTTACTCTGTTATTACAAATTAAAAAAAAAGTATTAATAAAAATACCGAACTGTAATGTAAATGCAAAAAAGTGGGAAGTTCATGAAATTTGACAGAATCAAACGCCCGACTAAATAAATTTACTTAATTGATGAGCGAAAATATAATACATAGTCTACACATATAAACTCTAACGATCTTTAGTAATTTTTAGCAAGATAATGACATGTTTCAGGGTCAGCCATCAAACATAGGGTCAGTCGGAAAGCAGGAAACAGACATATGTTTTTTGGCCTCATAGAATGGTGAGTGTCAAGTTGACGGGAAGTCGTCAAAAAGTTAGTTTCTATGTTCTCCTATATGTTAAATTGTGACCTTCAAACTTTTTTAAATGATTATGTTCATATTTTAGATGTTCACCTCACTGTGTGCGCCTCGATATTCCGACACCCTGTTAGACAATGATCAATATATTATAAATAAAAAGTGATTTTTTTGAACACATATAACATACATACTGAACTCCAAGATAAATTCCAAAAAAGGTGAATTCCATACAAACTGACAAAATCAAACATCATCAATAAACGGAAGAGGTGAAAACAACTCTCATATTCCTGACTTGGTACAGGCATTTTCCGAAGAAAAATGTGGGTTAAACCTGGTTTTATAGCTGGATAAACCACCCACTTGTATGACAGTTGTTTATAGTTCCGGGATATTGACACAATTGGGTGAGCAACCCAAACAGACATAAAAGGTTAATGTGACAATAATTGAGATTCAAAAGCCAAACACTGTGTAAACATACATCACAGACATACAACACAATGACTAAAACATTCAAACAATAACAAAGACGCTATAAAAAATGTTGTTGTAGTTTATAGTCAATTTGACAAAGAAGCAGATAAAACAGTTGTTAATAGTGAATACCGTATAAAGTGTATATTTTCTCGATAAAGTACAAATTGGGTAAAATATAAATTCAAGGGTAAACAAAATGAAAACAAGACTGTAAAAACCTCTTCATCGCATCTTATGACCCGCCTTCACTAGGATCACCAAAGTCAAAAACCCGATAGAGGGATACATAAATACCGGTCCATGTAAAACGTCTTACGACCAAAGGAAACAAAATAACACGAAGACAAATAAAGGGAAAACTGAAAAGTAAATAAAAAGATACACAACGCCAGCACCTGGAATCTATAACTCAAGACCATCTTGTATTATTTGTGAAGTAGACACTGCATATTTATCTATTAGGTGTTGGTACTTTCCGATGAATTTTTTGAGAAAAAGGACTAGAAGATCTTGGACAAAACTCTGGTTCGTTAATTTTTTTCTTAGACACTGATGACGTTTTATAAAGTATGAGTAGTCTCTAATATTGGTGTAGGTCGTTTTTAGCAGAAGGACCTTTCCATCGTCTGAAGAGGTAATTCAAGCTATCAAGGTAGGTTTGTGTATTAACATTTTTCTTTTTTAACCATGGCGTTGTCAGTTTATTTTCGACTTATGAGTTTGAATATCCCTTCGGTACATTCGCCTCTCTTTAACATGAGCGCTAAAAGCAAGATTTAATCACACAGTCAACACATAGAATGGTAGAAACACAAACATAAAGTCTGACGTGCCCGAAATGAGTATTGAACTCTTTTTTTAAAATCAGAAAAAGAATGGTTAAGTGTTACAATAATGTGGAAACAAGGTTTAGATTGTCTATATGTGCATAATTGTTAAAACATGTGGAATTAAGAGAGATCTGTAACTGCTGTTTTGATTTTAATGCTCAGGTTTTTTATAGGCAGAACAATATTTCCGTTGTATCAATGTTGTATGATAATTCATCATGGCTCAACAAATTCTGAAAATATTTCAGGATGACTAAAAAAAAGACTTATCTACAATATTTCGTTTATAATTTGAGCGTTATTCTTCAATTGAACTTTCTTCATTTTTTCTATCGGACTAAATCTTTATAACATAACAAAGACACAGAAACGTTTTGTCAATTTTAATTCACTCAGAATACAATTAATGCTTTGAGGGACCATCTTATGCAGATCGGCATAAAACCTGACAAAACCAAATGCTCGACTATATCAACCAACGAGTGGAAAACAACCGTCATATTCCTGACTTTAGTGGTTGTTGTTTTTTGCTGTGTATTATATTTAATTTCATTTATTGTTTTGTACATAAATCAGGTCGTTAGTTTTCTTGTTTGAATTGTTTTACATTTCGGGTCCATGTGTATAGGTTTGCTTATTGATGAAGGCTGTACGGCGACCTATAGTTATTAACTTCTATGTCATTTTGATTCTGGTGGAGAGTTGTCTCATTGGCAATCATACCACATCTTCTTTTTTTATATATAAGTAGAGGGGTTATTAGCAAACGAACTTCTGACATCAGACTCGGACTTCTCTTGAACTGAATTTTAATGTGCGTATTGTTATGCGTTTACTTTTCTACATTGGCTAGAGGTATAGGGGGAGGGTTGAGATCTCATAAACATGTTTAACCCCGCCGCATTTTTGCGCCTGTCCCAAGTCAGGAGCCTCTAGCCTTTGTTAGTCTTGTATTATTTTTAATTTTAGTTTCTTGTGTACAATTTGGAGTTTAGTATGGCGTTCATTATCACTGAACTAGTATATATATTTGTTTAGGGGCCAGCTGAAGGACGCCTCCGGGTGCGGGAATTTCTCGCTGCATTGAAGACCTGTTGGTGGCCTTCTGCTGTTGTCTGTTCTGTGGTCGGGTTGTTGTCTCTTTGACACATTCCCCATTTCCATTCTCAATTTTATCAAGTTGGATTTTTAGTTTATCTGATTTTTAAAAAAAGTGTCTGTCATAAACATCTGCCATTTTGTGGAATTCTTGTTTCTGATTGTGTTATTGAGATTTGAAATTTAGTCCAGTATACAGAACAAATTTCTTGTTCATTATAAAGAAATCATTAATTCCGTACTTGTCATATTGTTAATAGCTCTATTCTGAGACATTACTAGTTTCTTAGACCAAAAGGAATGAATTAACTGAAGAAATATCCAATTATTGATAATCTTTAAAATATATAATAAAAATAAATACAAAATGGTTGTTTAATACAAAAAAAAAGATCAAGTGAGAGGACAAAAATATCCGGACCCGCTGCTTTAAACTCAAAGGACTGTAATTCCGTGAAATGCGGGTCACCCAAAAGGAATGCCGAATTCGATCTTTAACACCTCATTATACATTTATAAATCAAAACTAAAATCAAATTGAAAACAAATCTGGACAAGTGTGGGTTTCGAAATGACTATCTGACATTTGTAATACTATAATTTAAATAAGCAATAATTAAACGTTTCCTTTTTTTATTTAATGTTTTACTTTGTTTTTTGGCATTGCACAATATAATGTCTTACTGTACAGCTTATAAAGTTGCTGTGTGACATGTTATAAGTACTGCAACCGCGATATTAAGTGTATAAGGGTATGATTTCTTACCGGCAGTTTTAGTAGTAGGCAAAATTTTCCTTCAAGATAATAACGTTGAAATCATAAGACGTTGTTAAACTTAGACAAGTTATACTCATCATGAAAACAAACGCAGCATACTTGAACAGTTACAAAATATATATGATTTTGTCCTTTAGAACATTGAGATCAAAATGTACGTTAAACCTTTGATATCCTTTATTTTTTTAATGTCTATTCAATTATCATAAGGCACAAAGGTACAATGCATTTAGAGTGTTGATTGAAATAGTGATACCGCCTATATTGTTTTCCATTGGACATTTCTGCTGCCCTATTGGAGTGATCGAAATGCTAATGCTTTTTTGTGCTACAATATCTTAGCAAACATGGTTTATCTTGGAAAATGAAATAGTAGAAACAAAACAAACTAGGCACACACAACGTTAATCAAAGAAGACATATAACACCATGACCAGAAAAGACAAAGAACAGTCCACATAACCTTAAATACTGAAACTTAGCAGTGCCAACAAATGAGAAAAAGAAATATATCATTCCAGAAGCACATGCATATGTAAAATATATATTGTCATGTTAATATGACACTCCAAAGCACAAGTATCTCTAGAAACATTCGTCAAGTGAGTGGTAACACCTACCAAAGAATAACTGAAACAGTGATTCATGAAGTTATCTTTTTGAAGTTGTTCGGACGTCACCATGACTTATGTAACTCGTATGGAATACTAATGTTCCAAATTTCCTCCCTATGTATACGACAATTACTATTTACCGCGCAAGACCAAATTCGACCAAATGCGGCTTCAATCCGATATGTTCATGGCATTAGCAGTAATACGAATATTTCTAGTAGAGAAAACACATAACGGTAGTCTACAGTTGCCATAAATACATCAAATCTAGGTGTTAAACTGACCACATTAAAGTAAAAATAACGGAATCAAATAAAACCTCAACGAACTGAAACCAGACATGACAACAAAATAGACTTCTCTTGCTATATGCGGGCACCAACTGTCATCAGTTACCGAAGCAGCTTATTTCAAGCAAAATTGCGCGTGAGTTTAAAAGTGTCAACTTTTGTTCGTCCTCAGACGACAAATATGCCATCAAGATATTTTATGTTATACGAAAATTATCCTATTTAACTTTTGCTCAGGAGCGTAACTGTTGAATATTTTGATTTAGACTTCCCTGGTGAATGTCAATATAGAAAATTCCTTCGGACTCTTAAAATATTTTTAACTGTTATTTTATTTTTTTGGGTAGATACCGCTCCTGGTGGACTATCAGTCTATGGGGTTATGATCAGTTTAGTTGTCAGTGGGTTGGTACTGATATGATTTATAACATACCCCTTTTCTAAATTGTTCGTTTTTTAAATTTATAAACCGTTGAGAAATAAGTTTTCCTGAAACACTTAAGTCGCATGACATGGATATCTATCATACCTTATTTAGTATTACTCCTTCATCGGTATTAATTTAGGTACCTTTTCAGTCCCTTAAGTACCATACATTCACAAGCCAATTACAAAGTTCTCATTTGCTTGTAACAATAAGCTACTGTTATTTGTAAAGACGAGTTTTTGTGTGTTTTTAACATTTTTGGTATGTTTGGATTTTCCAATCGTTTGGTCATGGGTGTGTCTTGTGAATGTTATTTCAGGAACACGTGCTGTTCGCATGAATAACATAGTTTTGCAAGTACTGTAACAAAAAGAACTGACTAAAGTGTTATAGGGGATATTACTGATGTTGTTACTCTACTCTGTTGTTTCCATCATCATCATTTATTTTTTTTTTTTAAACATACTTTATTGTCCAAAAACATTGACAATAGGATCTGACACAAGTTTTGCAACTTAGAACTTCTTCTCCATTACATACAAATAAAAAATAACTGCACACAAATAAAATACATGTAAATAACATCATATACAATATTAATATCATCATTAAAGACAATGATCGTCTTTGGAGTATACGATAAAGTGTATCTGCTTGAACCAGATAGTTGCATATCTTATCGAGTTATATGTTGACGAGTGTAACATTGCCATTCTGTTATGGTTACATTTGGTCACATAGTTCATTAAGTTTACATCTATTAATACATGAATGGCTTTGTTTTGGTTTTTTAATTGATCGTTCCTGATTGATGAAGATAATTCCAGAACAGCGCGTTGGACGTAACAAATGATAAAGTGCTACTTTTGTTTACCATGACTATTTTAATAATTTATTAAATTGTCTTATCGTAATTTTAAATCATATTCATCATTACTAATTATAATTTTATTTATTTGTATGGTCAAGATATTGCTGGAATAACTATTTTGAAAGTTATCAATATCTATAACTTTATTTTTACTTTGGTAACAAGGTAATCTTTAGCTTCAAATGAGCACACCGCAGAAAAAAGTATCGCTTGTTCATTGTGTTTCTTCTTGGGTATTCCTCGTTGTATCTGTCAAAGAAAACAAAAAGACTTTTTATTCAGTTATAAAATTGTTCATCTGCATTCATTGATTATCAATGATATATTATTATGATATCAATTATAAAAAATGGTATATGAGCCTAGTACCTTCTGCTAGCTATTATTCGTGTGTTTCTTTGTCCTATATGTTCTCCCATTTATTTGTATTGTGGTCCTGTCATGTGATGTTGTCGTTTTGGTGTTGTGTTTGACGTTGCCATAAAAGCGGGAGGTATGGCATGCCACAAAACCAAGTTCAACCCACCATTTTTTTCTTAAAATGTCCTGTACCAAGTCAGGAAAATGGCCATTGTTATATTATAGTTCGTTTCTGTGTGTGTTACATTTTAATGTTGTGTTTTTTGTTGTGTCGTTGTTCTCCTCTTATATTTGATGCGTTTCCCTCAGTTTTAGTTTGTAACCCGGATTTGTTTTTATCTCTATCGATTTATGAGTTTCGAACAGCGGTATACTACTGTTGCCTTTATTATACAGAATTAAATATGCTCTAACCGAACTATTGGTTACTTTTGTTATTTCAAAAACATTTTATTGACAAGTAAATCATTGTAGTTTTACTGTCTTCTTTATATTTTATGCTAATATCAAGTAGCTATTCTTCTTAACTAATTCATTTTTAATATATAATGTGTAATTATTTTGAAAGCTTAAAACAGCAGCATTTGAAGATAGATTAAATCTATCAAATAACAGAACGCTCGGCAACCCACATTTATTTAAAGGGGAAATAAGTATTTGCCTTAAGTGGTACGTTATTCTAAAAACAATATCGATATTTTGCAACAACATCAATCAAATATATCCTGGCATACAATTGGTTTTTCGTGCTATAGGTGCTTTGACCTATAAAAGTTTGCTTTTATAAATTTTGACTTGGATGTAGAGTTGTCTCATTGGCACTCATACCACATCTTCTCATATCTATGTAGTCAATTCCAAAGTGACTACAAAGTTGAGGATATAACTTGTAATTATTTAAAAGTGTTTAAACGCAAAAATGAATAAATATTCTATTTTAAAATGAACTTTGAGCGTCACTGATGAGTCTTATGTAGACGAAACGCGCGTCTGGCGTATTAAATTATAATCCTGGTTCCTTTGATAACTATTGACTTATTTAGTGGGAGGACATTATCTTTACAGCGGAACATGAGTTAAAGGAAAATGCTAGCTTCTTTTAATTGTTTCTTAGAAACTCCAGTATGAGATCAGCATCATATGAATAAAGGAACAAAGCGGCAAAAAAAGAAGAGCACAGTTGGTTTCCATGGGAATGCCGATTGTTTGTTGAAAAACATGTCCTCCAAACGTAACAAATATGTTGTCAATCAAGATTATTGATAATATCAGTTTCTGAGAATTTCTCGTTTGAATCAGAGGGATTTTTTACAAAGTAAGATTTTTCCTCCCAAAAAAAACAAGACACTTATCTACGTTGCCCATTTTGTTTTATGAAGCAAAGCAGGACCAATGGTTTCACACATCTGGTTCTCGCTGTCCCTATAGTTTGTAGTTTCACAATAACTTTGAAGTGCTACTTATGTAATTTAGGTATTCAATACAGTGAAGGAAGATCCAGTTCTTCATTTTTGGTTTATATTTCAAAGGAACATACAACAGCCCTATGATTATTCAGGATTTCTTTCTTGGTAAGTGTCGTGGGGTATATGTTCGGTTTCCAAGTGAATTGTTAATACCTAATTCCTTTAGCAAGCAGTTTATGTAATCTGATTTACATACAAAAACAGATGTTGTTTGTGGCTGTATCTACGGGGACAACAACATAATTTTCATGGAGGTAGGACAGGTGCTTACAACATTTGGGTCTTTAAAGTCCCATTCAGTTTTTTAATTTCAATTAATTTTGTATCAACGAGCTCACAGCCTTAACCAATTCGGAAAGAGTATAAACGTCTCCCTTTTCGCATTTAGCGCATTGTCTGGCTTAATCCTCAATTGAATCCATCAGTATTTTGAAGATGTGTTTCCAATTTAAGGATTTAGGCTCACGATATTTCTGGCCTTTGGATAATATATTTCGAAAGAAGTGTTATTGACAATGTTCATGTTACCAGTAGTAACGTGGCCAGCCGGATTAAATATAAATGTGGAGCTAACACAGGTGCAACCAGGAGGTTTAGAGTTGCAGTCGTCAATATTGAGACCCTGCAACACGAATTTGTAATTGAAAGTTGTTGTTGCAATTGGTTTGATATAGGTATTAGAGACGATAGGTATAGACTTATCTTTCAAGTAAGGATGTACTTATTCATGTTGAAGCAAAGTTTTTGAAAGGATGCTTTCTCCTTTTTTGTTCCTTTCCAGTGCGAACCGGTCTGAAAAGTCAGTGATTGGGGATGTCGAGTACACAGTTTATAATAGCTTCAAATACAAAAGCTCTTATTTGATAATTACTCTAATATAACAAGTTGGAAACGGCTCCACAAGTTTGAGATATCACATGTATCCATATAGCATTTTCCAATTAATTCAGTTAATAATTTGATGATTTAAGAGTTGGAGATGTAAATAAACAAAACCTTTCAAGGATTAAATGTGATATATATTGAAATATTATCACTTCTGGATATTAACCACATGCTAAAGACGAACGTATGTTTGGCTGTGGATCTGTTTAACTACGCAGACATGTCAAGTAGGAGGTCGGATGTCAATTTTATTTCCTCTTTACTGTCCAAATTTCCAACAGTTTAGCCTTCTCAACCATCATTACTGAACCTATCAATCGATTTTACTGTTTATTTGATATCTCATCCTGAATATGAATGTTTATACTACAAGGTTTTGTTTACTTTAATGGTAAAGTAACCCGTTAAATGTAAACAATGTAATTCATCAGAAATAATATTAAGTACTTATAAAAGGAATTTTGTGTTTCAAATCCTGTTTCAATCAAAATATTCGACAAATATCAAATGTTAAAAATGGATACATGGAATTACTATATTTACGTGGAAATGATACCGGCACTTACTAACTGAACATATTCCTGATTATATATGTAGGACTCTGAACCGCGATGGTCACGCTGATGTGCGATGGTTTGTCGCTGAAGTGCGTTTTTGATCACGTTGAAGTGCGATGGTGGCATTGTGATGGTATCTTGTTGATAGCTTCGTCGAAGTATGATGGTGGTAACGCTGAAGTGCGGTGGTGGTAACGCTGAAGTGCGATGGTGGTATCGCTGAAGTGCAATGGACTACATAAACTATAATTTCAATGCTTTGCATGTCGATGTCGAAGTCAATTTGTTTGTTAGAAACAGGTTTTTTTCGGGGTTTTAATTTAATAAGTGGCATATAAACGTTTTAATACTATGGGAAACGGATATTGATTGGTTGAGATGGAAAGTTAACCTTCTGTAGCGGATTTTTTTTTTTCGAAATCTACAAAAGGTTTTTTTTCTTTTACGATGGAGTGTGGCACTCTCTTAATACAATCGGGTCCGCAGACAGACTCTCCGTATTATAATATTATTTAAACTAGGAACTCACGAGAGGAACCAAGTAAAGATAAAATGTTAACGCAGAATTATGTTCACATCCTGAAAATCAGAGAGGACGATCTCTCACTTAGTATGCAACTGTAACTAAGGACACCCAAAGACAACAACGAATGCAAATTTATATACTAACTATTAAAAAAATCTACTTCTCATAGGCCTAATAATTGAACATCTGTAGATATAAAACTAACCATCACGCGTAATATAGACCATCGCACATCATCGAACGAACCATCGCACTATAGCGTGACCATCGCACTTCAGCGTCCCCATCGCACCTCCGAGTCCTACATATATATCCAGATCAAGGAACCAATACTCTTAAGGTACGCAATCGATGCGTTCTACGTACCTTTACTTAGATGAGAAGGCAGGATAAGTGGTAAATCTGGCATCACATCCTGTCTGTTATTCGCCTTATCTTCTATGGTATCGGGTGCATTTGAAGTCCAACCATGCTCACTGAAAGAAATGAAAGTAGATATAGAGATGAGCCCTTATAACATTATTTGTATGCGGTCATGGTTTTTTTGTTGTCAAAATTTATCTACAGAAAATGTTCTTATTATTGTAATGTATTTGAATGCAATTCAATTAACAAGTTATATTGTAAAATCTTTTTTTTAAATCATAATAGAAGAAAGATAAGGCAGGCGTAGAAAAACCCTTATTCTATATTTCAATAAGGCATTCACTTATCAAGGTCTTTGGGAATTTTTTGGGTGTATAAACCCTTGACTTGAAAATAGCTTTATGCTGGAGTTATTGAATTCAACAACGGAATTTAAGATCACAAATCAATATTTCACTTTACAATTGTATTAGAATCTTCTTTAGCAGCCATTGACTAAGAGTCGTTCTGAAAAATAGAATTTTGACCGATTCTTGCGAACACCTTGTTTGTTGTATTTCTAGGAACATTAGTTTTACCTGGGTTTTTTTTAACAATTCAAGGTAATACACGACTGAAAACACATATTATATTCATAATTACTCTAAATATCAGCACAACAATGTTAAATCTGCAAATTTGCGGAAGCAAATTTTTGTTCTTCCCTTGTCGGGATTCGAACTCATGCTATTGGGATATCGAGACAACACCGCCTGCACTGTGTCCAGCGCTCTATACCACTCGGCCACCTAGACTGAACTAAAAATTCAGCTTTTGGTGACCTACTGTTATCTTTCTTCGTCAGTAGAATCTAGAGTTGTAACACAGTACATGATATATAAATGTATATACGAATAGTCATAGTCTGATCGTCAAGAAAAAAAGATCTATAGTTCAGTACAAATAAGTGCTCTTTTTCCGATTGAGAGAAACTTTGTGCTATATTAGTTACAATGTATATTATATTGAGATCATTCAAAAACTCACCAATAATATAAGTAGATATAAGAAGATGTGGTATGAGTGCCAATGAGACAACTCTCCATCCAAGTCAAAATTTATAAAAGTAAACCATTATAGGTCACAGTACGGTCTTCAACACGGAGCCTTGGCTCACATCGAACAGTAAGCTATAAAGGGCCCCAAAAATTACTATTGTAAAACCATTCAAACGGGAAGGCTTATAATTAAGTAGGCGCGAACAAGCGTTTCGTCTACACAAGATAATCAGTGGCGCTCGAATCAAAACGATTGAAAGGACAAATCAATTTTGAAGTTGAAGATCATTTAAACAAAACCACACATTCAGAAAAGATGCAAAACGCTGTGCTAAATCAGCATAAAGCAATCAATCCCTGGTGATAGGAAAACCTTAGTATTTCGAAAGACTGTCACGTTTTATTAACAATACATTTACAGAAAAATGAGCATATCAATTATATTTAATGTCGGTGCCGAAGTGATGACTTCTAGGATGGTGATACCCTGAGAGACAAAATGTCTATCAGCAAGTAGCAAGAATGACTACTTCACATCACACCATGTACAAATCATGGACAGCAATAACGAAAAAAAGAGCGTAACTAACACTTAAATGATACTTACTTATAATAATCCTTATAATGTCTTGAAATTAAAAAATAAAAGTGTTCATGTTGTAAAGTTCTTAAATCGTCCGTTTATCAATTTAGAAATTTGTATGGTCTGTTTGCAACTTTAGCGCTTTGTCATTCAATAGAATTCTATTTTATACAAACCATACTTCCACTTCAAACAGATTTTCACTCCCAAACTTGTAAATGCCAAGTCTACCTCTTTCCCAATAAACCTGTAAAATATGTATTTCAATTTTTCTCTGTAGTGTTAGGTTGTATCTTTTCATGTTGTGCACCGTAACCAATTTAGAAATTATCAAAAAACTGGGGTTTCAACTCCCTCACGCAAAGATCTTTTAGAGTTAATAAAATATAAATCTCTTTTCTCTTTTTATAGTATTAAAACATTAGACCTTTCGACCCTTTACACACGTATTCCCCTTTCCAAACTATAGGACGAATTGAAAGAATTTGTCCTGCTTTGTTTCATAAAATGAACTGTCAACGTAGACACAAATATCTTGTTTTAGAGAGGAATAAATTGTGAAAAACCACTCTGATTGAAACAAAAAAGTTCTGAATCTGACATTGTCAATATACTCGATTTCTTGATTGACAACATATTTGTTAGGTTCAAAGGTAGTGTTTTTAGACAAATAATCGGTATTCCCATGTGAACCAACTGTGCATCTCTCCCTTGTGACTTGTTCCTTTATTCATATGAGGAATACTTCATACAGGAGCTTCTAAGGAATAACGAAAAGAAGCTAGCATTAACCTTTAACTACACGTTCTATTACGTAGTTGATGTTCTCTCACTGAATAATTCAAAGTTTGGTGACTATGTTGAACTATCTAACTCATAAAACTTGAAAAAAAGGATAGAACAAATACAGTTATCATTTCTTGACTTACATTGATGATGACTATTGTGTTCTTTTTGGTAGAGATTTGTTTTAAACATGGCATTGTCAGATCGTTTTCGATCTATTGTCTATTTTATTGGTATAGTCCGCCCATCTTTAACAATTGATATAATGAAAATAGAAATTGTCTTCCCTTTTTCTTAAGGATTTATGATTTTTATAGAATCTTTTTTCATTCTTTATTACATAAATGCAACATTTTTTGGAATTGAGTTTTACTGTTCGTTTTACTGTGTGTTTGCTTAATCTACATTTGCTAGGGGTATAGGGGAAGGGGTGAGATCTGAAAATTCAGAGAATCTATTTACATAGAGGAAGAAATATGACGAACATGGTTCAGTGGCCTAATTCTTATGCAATTAATAGGTCTGCAATCAAGTGGATTCCATTGATATTTTTCTTTAGAATATTTAATGCAGGACAGTTTTGCTTTTGATTCCTTTATATAGATAGTTTTTAATGTAAGATCAATTATAGTAAATCAATATTGTTTCAAGTTACAAAGACATGTGAAGTTGTCAACAAATTTAGATGGAAACTGTATATGTATAGTCCCCAACTTTCCACACTAAAAGGTCACTTGAGTAATGTATTAGTCCTTGAAAACTTAGCACTGTGGTATGAATAGTTTCCGGTTGTTTCTTTGTAAGTAGTGTTCTTTGCCGCAATGCATACAATCATGAAATTTAGAGTGCCAACTTTGAACTTCAGTGCTTAAAGGGCCGTAGATTATGCGGAGGCATGTAGTCAGTTGCCTCACATTGCAACTGATAAAACAAATATAATAGTACGGAAAAAGAAACACAAAGAAATAAAAGAAATAGTTTCAATTATCAAATAATATTTTGCTAAAGGACAAATCTGCAACAATCTGCAAAGTTGAGATTCTTTACGAAACATAAATTCACTTCTTATGTTTGTATTTTCATGCAGCATAATAAAACGGCTGTATCAAGTGGGCGTGTAGGATAAATGATCTTGTTATCTTGATTCATTTATATGTTTTTCTATTTTAGTGTATATCCTTTGATATATTTTCCTGCTACAAATAAAGGCAACAGTAGTATACCGGTGTTCAAAAGTCATAAATCGATTTAGAGAAAACAAATCCGGGTTACAAACCAAAATCGAGGGAAACACATCAACTATAAGAGGAAAACAAAGGAACACCGAAGTGCAACAAAAAACAAACGCCAACACACATAGAAACGAACTATTTGATAACAACTGCCATATTCCAACAAGCTATTTCCCGATTCCCAAATGATAAAATTTCAAGGACATTAATTTGACACAGGCACATATACATTTATACATGTATAAATATGTACGATGATTATATATGTGCATTGTGACTTGGATTGAGAGTTGTCTCATTGGCATTCATAGCACATCTTCTTACATCTATTGATATAAAAAGTGCATAAACAAACTGTGTTAGCAGTAGAATATATTTAATGAGCTACACTTTTATACAATGCACGTGTAAACTTGAATTAGATTTAGTTATTTCGAATTTTAGAGTTGCGTGATATATACTGACCGACTTTGAAAACGCATCACTAGATTACTCTTTTTAATTCTCATTTTCAAATATGCAATTTTTGTAAAATAAATAAACAAACACAAATTTCAATCATTCTAGTGAATGTTGATTTCATTAGACTTTATTGCTTTGATAGAATATGTATATCATTTGTATAAAGAACATTCAATAATTAAATTAAACTACTGTGCCAATTATAAGTTTCAATTAGGTAACTCTTTCTTTCTGTCACCTCTTATGCGTAAGCTTCTGATGAGATCCATGGTATATGATCCCATTTTAAATAGAATAAAGAGAAAGAAAGGCCGAACAGTTGAATTTATTCAATTACAGTTTCATTACAAACATTTTCACCGAACACTAAGTGTGCTACTTATATTACAACATCTAAATAAAATAGTGTCGACATTTTCCAACCAGACATCACAACTTCGTATTCACACTAGTTAAGAGTACAATACAACGTTTGATAAATAAAAAAAAACGTGAGATATAAAATATAGTAGTGCATTTATCTTTTGTGGTGGACTATGAAATTATGTGATTTCCGAATTTTATATAAAAGACTTAATCTATTGCATGATGGAAAAAAATATAATAAACAATATAAAAATGCATCAATATGGTTTTGTCAACTTTCCGAATGAAAGAATGGCCAGAGCTTGTTATTAACTTTAGTTACATACCAAAACTTTACCGTATTTTACAACACGTAACACTGTTCCTCTGCTACCTCGTCCACCATCCTGTTTGCCATGTTTCCAGTCTTTACCTTAATATATGACAAAAGATAAATAGCAAGTAACATATCTTAAGGTTCGGTTTGAAACAAGTGGCGCTTTTATCTTTTGAATACCACTTCAATGATAGATACCATCGGCCGAATGTCCGGTTACTGGCATGATTTGGATGATATATTTTGTTTGTAAATTTTTGGTCAATAAATCTCCCAACATGAACTATATTAAGGCGACCGTAGTTTTCTAATACTTAAATCTCGTAAATTGATTCCGAAGAGACAAATCAAGGACATAAACAAAAAATAAATGTAAGGATTAAATTGACTTATGGAGAGTAAATATCCTTATGAAAAGTTCTTCTTCAATAGTTGAAATTATTTTGTTTTCTATGCTCTTCTTTTTGTCAAATATGTATATGTAATCTCTTTTGCTATCATTAGGTTGTTACAACTATCATTCTTCATTGGTACCATCCTACCAGTACCTGGTACGTCGGTACAGGCAGGATTAAATTGATACATTTTGTTTGTAAATTTCTAGTTCATAGTTTATATATTTGTATTAATATAAAGCGTCAACTCCCTATTGAAATTTGAAATCAGTTGCCAGGCTCTTCTATTGTGTTCATCTTCTTTTGTATGCTTTAAAACTTTTCATATTTCACACTCTCCAAACTGTTTTTAGGTTGCTTCTGTTGAAGATTATTCGTGTTTTTTGCAATGATTTTGTTAACCATACGTTTGTTTATGCTTTTGATAGTTTTTCTTAGGTTTAAAATACAGTCCTAAAATGTTGGTTGTGCTTACAATCAACATAATTAGCGTACCTTAAATAAACAATAATAAAAAACAGATATGTTCCATTTATTGTAGCCATACTTAATTTGTTACTGAATTTTTACATGAAGGATACCATTAATGGAGTAGGAGCACATGACTTCATATCCGGACTTTTAGTGAGGTGCTTGCTGCTCAACTTAAAGTGTATGTCTTGTGTTTCTTTAATAGTTTGACTTAGGTCTGGTCTCGTTTGTCCATAATGTTTCGCTTCCTGGGTCACCTTCATTCAATTTTATTTTTGCTAATTTTTATTTTTAATCAAAAATTAAAATAACAAAAATACATTACTCCAAGAAAAATTCACTACGGAAAGTCCCTTATCAAATTGCAAAATCAAAAGCTCAAACACATCGAACGAATGGAAAACAGCTTTTTGTCATATTCTATTAAACACATCATAGTCAAACTTAGACTACATAATAATGTTATTTTAATACCTCTTTTTACTTTGCAGCCTACACCAATTATCTCATCTATTAATCTTCTTGGTTCATTTACTGGTTTGATATGAAAGACTTTCATATTTTCATCATAAAGGTAACGGTTTTTATGACCACTGTCCCATTCTACGCGAATCGTACCTTAAACGAAAGAAAAGTCCCACACTCTTTCAAAGCAGTCATGGACATCTTTTAAAAGTTATTTCCAATAAAATAATCTTATGTACAAAACAATAACTTCTCTTTCTAAAAAAAATGAACAAATACATGATTGTAGAATTGACACATCTTCGGTTCTTTTTTAAAAAAAAAAATGTTTCTGATATATACAATAGAATGTGAATAAAACCTTTTGTTTTTAAATTCAATCGTTGTGTTGATGTTTTAACGTTGTAAATTGATGATGTTTATTCTATTTGATTGTCTCCACACGTAATATAAAACAAACAACGAAAATTAAATTAATGGATTAACAAACCATCATCATCCTCCCCGATAACTGTTCCCGCCATGTTTGAATCTTGATTCCCCAAGTGCCAATTCGGTCCACGTCGAACACGTGTTCCTAATTGTATTGATTTCCATTGTGTTTGTTTAAAGAACTCGATGTACTGTCTCACAGGATCCAGTAGGAGCATAATATTGTTTGTTAGGTCATCCTGATCAAATATAAATGTAAGTCTTTGGTAATACATAATTTAGATAAAGTTACCAATTTATGAAAGGTATGTTTCGTTACAAAATTATCCAGTTGATCATATTTCTGTATTTACTGTCAATGCAATAATTCAGTCCAAAAGATCACTTAATATTTATAAAATCTTGTATCGAAAGGCTTATATAGCCTAGGATACATTTGAATACTTTGAAGTTTCTATTTTTGGGGTCCAACGTGCTGCGCTTTCCCCTATCTTAATATAGTGTCTAATACTGTTTTGACGGGGGGATGTTCGTACTGAAACAGGTAACAATATTTGTTGCTATCTCACTTATCTCTATATATAAACAAATTATGTGTTTGAGTGATTTTACGATGTAATTTATTTCCAATATTGATACATATGTGAACATTTGAAAACAACTGAAGCAATAATATGTCTTTTTTTTCAAAATAACAAACTCTTTAATTAAGATTTATAACTTACAAAATCATCAAAGTCCTGAAGATTTGCCAAACGCACGGCTGTTCTTACACCATTAATGTCAATATCTGTTGCTGTCCCCAGTTGGTGTGCAATTTCTGATGCGTGGAACTGGAAAAGCATGCACAAATGACCAACCACCAATTTAATGACTAAAACGTGTCGCTTGAAATTAAGTTTAATTACAATATAGCTAGTAACAATAGTCAATAAACCATGTTCCGTAAATCTGAAGACAAGGTTATATGCATCATAGAGTAATATAGTGAAGTAATCATAACATCAATAAATGTAAGTTCCGTTTAAGTTTACGTAACGCTTCGGGTCTAGTTGACTGCTAGTCCCCCCTGAAGGTATCAATTACCAGTGCTTTAGTTATGACATGATTTTTAAAATACCTTTCTTAAATTCTCTGTTGATCAATTCCGAAATTATCAAGAAACTAATGTTGTTGGCCTGATAGTCCTCGGGGTATAATCATGTCAGAACTCATTGCTTTGGTATTGACACGACTTATTACATACCTTTCTTTAAAATTAGTTAGTAACTAATGTTCCAACTCCCAAGGTAAGTTGACCTTAGATGAATTTGGTTTTCTTTTAATGTCTCTTTTGTTGATATAGTTCATCGCGTATCCAAGTACTTATACATTTTCGGGTTTGAGGGGTCATGGTAAATGTGTATCCAGAAAGCACTTAGAATAAAACAAATTTACAAAGTGTAATTTTCATTTCGGGTAAGAATGTCCACAACATGTATTATAACTTTAATGTAAAAAGGAGTAGGATAGATCACGCCCTTAATTGGCCTTTTTTAGTTAAAATTTTAAATTAGGTTTCAATGACCAACACAATGAATTATAGCTAAAACAATGACTAAAAGGAAAATGAAAATTTACGTATTAGCGTTCTTTTCGTGACAAATAGCACACCTTTTGATTTTCGATGAAAATTCTATGAAAACAGGTATATTTCAATTGATTTTGTGGACTGGGAACATTAAGCTCTAAATCATTTAATAAATATTTAATTGTAAATAATTTTAACTGAGACTATCTAACATCCCTACTGATAAAATAATGTGCTTCCACAAAAAAAAAACCTTTTAACATAAATGTTTGTCATAACATTGAGTATATAGTTTGTTGAAGCCTGTGCTTTATGTTTCCTAGGCATAAATTTAGTTGATATCCAGACGATTTTGTCAAATTTCACCAACATCTCTACTTACAGCCGATTTGGGTTGTAAACGCTCTATCAGAAAAGCTGCACAAAGATAGCTTTATTTCACTTTCTAACTTGGTCTTTAAATCAACTTGAAACATTTTTTTTATTTTGAAATACATGTAATGGACTTAATTTCGGGGCCAATTATGGTCCTTACCGAACATACTTCTTTGTATGCTACACGTGTTGTGTTAAGTAAAATTTACGTAATCGCATTAATAAAATTGTTGAAAAGATACCACGCTTCCATTTGTGTTATAAATGTATTAATAATTATTGCTTTTTAAAAGATTGTAAACATACCTGTGTCTGTGTATTTTTGCAGATACGATTAATCTGTTCAGCCGGTACCAGTTTCCCACATGTTTTAGTAGCTATCCTTCTCATTATCTGAAACCAATCAAAATGTTATGTTTATAGTACTAATAAGCCCTTACACTGAATATTTTTAAAATTTTGCCATAGATATATAGATATATATAATGGAATGATGCTTTGTCCATAGGAATTAAATAAACAATAGTTTATCACAATATGATTTGTATCATATTATCATGGGTTTTTACTTTGTTCTCCGTATCTTGCAAGTATAAAAACAAACAGATTTTAAACATGTTTTTTTCGTTTGTTTAATAGGGATTAACTTCGATTCACTCATATACAGTTTCAAACACTTATGTGTCAGTAATTTCCTTTTTCTAAATAGAAAATGTTCTTCCGTCATCACATATGATTTTTTTCCGCTCCTGTCTTTGTTTTTTATAAAATCTAAGTTAGATTAGTGCAGTGATGTAAAAAGAATGCAAGATCTCTTATTCAGGCTATAAAGCAATGTAGGTAACATCAAGTGAGGGGGTTGAAGACCCACAAAACTAACATCCTCATATGTTGATATAACTGTCCCAAATCTAAACACCACAGTGATTAGCTGTGTTTGTTCACACCATATATATTTTTGACCGGTAAGGGTCTTTGATAATCTCGGTTAAAACTATTTACAATTTAATATTTTTTAAATGATTTAGAGCTTAACATATGACAGAGTCACTGGTATAAGTGTGTCCACTTCACTCGTATAAGTGTGTCCACTCTATGTTCACATTTAGCTAGATTTAGTTCGTTATATTGGTTTATCAAAGCTATTTCTAATTTCATAATATTTCCTAAAACACAATTATATCCATTTGTTGTAAATTTCTGTCCGAAATACCCACCGAAACAAATAAATAACGATGTGGTTTTATGAAATTCGTTTTACATCGTGCACATTAAACAAACATTAACCAATGTAGCTTAGCTGTATGGATACTATGGTCAGAATAGTTTTATGCAATTCAAATTAAAGCGAAAGTGCATTAGCTGCTCTTCGTTGCCTCTTTTTTTTAATTGTATTTGGTAAGGTTTTGTCGAGACTACATAATGATAGATATAAGAAGATGTGGTCAAAGTACGGTCTTCTACGCAGAGCCTTGGCTAACACCAAACAGCAAGCTATTAAGGGCCCCAAAAATTAGTAGTGTAAAACCATTCTAACGGGAAAACCAACGGTCTAATCTATATAAAAAACGAGAAACGAGAAACACTTATGAACCACATCAACAAACGACAACTACTGAACATCAGATTCCTGACTTAGGACAGGTGCAAACAAATGCAGCGGGTTTAAAAGTTTTAATGGTACCAAACCTTCACCCTTATCTGAAACAATAGTGTAACATCACAACATAGAAAGACACATTATAAAATATCAACTGAATTGGCTCAACTCAATCAAAGGACATATTAACACCATTGAACATACACTGAACAAATAAATTTGATCTATTATACAATGTAAATACAAAATAAATAAACTAAGGGAAGAATGTATGTTTGACAAATCAAGGCGACAGTAGTTTACCGATGTTAAAACCTCGTTAATCGATTACGAAAAAACCAAGATAACAAACAAAAACTGAGGGAATTACATGAACTCCAAAATGGACGAGAACGGGGTTGTCGACATGCTAAAAAAAAACCATTGCAATTTGGGCAGACAAATACAATGCCAAAAAATGATTTATACAATCACTGACCGTATTAGATTTATTTCTCTGGCGTACACAATATTTTTCTGTTAAAAATGGTGTTAACATTATCCACTGTAAAATTTGAAGAAGAAAGAGGATAGCTATGCAATGTTTCAGATATAGATATGTTTGACTCGACACAAAATGCCATAGTCGTAGTCCATATATCAAGGTGTCTAGACGATCCTGCAAGAAAAGTTGATTTAAGCTTGTTTTGACGTATCTGTTAATAGAATAGAGAACTGAAACGGGTATGTGTCAATTAGACAACAACCCAACCTAACAGCAGAAAACAGCCATAGGCCACAAATGAGTCTTCAACGGAGCGAGAAAATCCTGCTACCGGAGGCGGGCTTCAACTGGCCCCTTAATATGTTGACTTTTTCATTGCTCTTTTGTTTCTAAATTGTTACGCTTTTCAAACACTTCAGCATGAGGCATCAAGATAAAAGTTAATCCTAAAATGCGTTCTATATTTGACATAGTTAAATTTTAATAATTTTTTTTTTTTATTTTTAAAACGGATCTGAAAACTTGATATGACCATCAGCGTCTACTGCTTCTGATAATATTCTATTTTCTGGAACGATAAGGATAGGTCCCTGACATTTTCTTATTTCTTTGGAAAGATCAAAAGCAATACTAAAGTATAAACAAAAGATAAAAACACAAATAAAAAAAATAAATGCGATAAGTGCTCTCTACGTATTATCGATTTAAACCAATACGTTATACACATATACTATTTAAGATACACGTTTTACAACTTGTACCATAACACAAATAGAAAATAAGATAAGTTATATCTATATGTTGATCAACTGACAGAAACGGTGCAACATATTATGTGAATTTTTATTCTTGAATACATAAAACTTACATTTGTGTTTGCAGATCCGATTGGAATACAGAATATTCTTATACCTCTCATAGCAATATCCTTGACTATTTTTTGTAATTCTTTGTCTCTTTCTAAATTAGTCTAAAATGAAAAAGAGGGAGGCCTGTTTCATTTTGAATATCTTGAACAGAATCAGGACTGAAGGAAGCATGACCCCTACACAACCGTTTTGAGTGAAGGAGATTCTAAGCGCAAACTGTAATTTTCACTCCCACATTTGTTTGCCCCTAGGACATATTCGATTGCCGACTTTTTTCAATGTACTTGTACCTAATTGTTACTTTTAATAAAATAATATATATGGCTTATATGTTAGATTAACGTTATTGATTAGAAAAAATCTAAATATTATCAATCACAACTTAGCATGTAATTGGTTCGTGTACCTGTTTCAGTACTTTTGATATTTCATTATAATATCAAAGTGGTATACCGACACCAAAAATGTTATTGTTTTTTATCTATAGGTATGCACAGAAATGTATAAGGGGTAAACTCAATCGGTGCAGCATGAACACCAACTGAGTCATATCATTTTGAACGTGGCAGTAACAAGGCTTTTAGATTTAAATGATCGAAATCATTGCTTTTCGGAGAAAATAATACATCAATAAAATCATAACCGTAATTTGGGTATCCGTTACGTATTACTATATTGTGTTAAGTTAATGCCATTTTCAAAACACTCAAGTGCACATCGGTCCGCTTTTAATTCTTGCTACACCTTTTAACGAGATTTGTTAATAACATTAAAACAAAGTATTTGAACTGAACGTCCGAGGACCAGAAATTGGTTAAATTCAGTCATCCAGAACCAAATACAATTTCGATCTGTAAGTCATCATTCACCACAATACCAGAAATAAAACATTTAATAGTTTTTCAAAAAAGACAGAAGGAGGGGGGGGGGGAATGATGTACAATGCCCAGGCCAGAGAGTGATGGGGACAACATAAAAAGAGTTTCTAATTGACTTAAAATATTGAAATTAAAAGGAGTGGGTTGAGATTCTTCGTTATTTGTAGAATCTGGTTTTAATGGCAGATCTTTGACTGTTTGTGTTAAATTTAGTCGCAATTTTTATATCTCGAAATATTTAGAGATTGTATTGTATTAATACCTTTTTATTGTTGAAGACTGAATATTTACCTTTCAATGTTTGAGTTATTTTTGTCATTGTGCTGTTGTCTTATTTAGGTATAGGTCGTGCCTCCTTTTATTCATATTCTGACCTTTTTTATAAAGTCTATATTATTTGAATTATCGGTGTTCTTACAAGTTAATTGTACACTGTGCTATTCAAGTAGAAGGAGATCAAAATCAATATTTAATAGCAAATGTCTGCAAATAAAGTCTAGCTTCTACTGAAATCAGCAAGTTTGATGCATAACCGGGCTTTATTTGAAAGATAGAAATTGCTAAATTGACTTTTTAGACAAAAGCTAAATATTTTAACGAATAATAGCGTACTTAATTTTGGAAAATGCATTCTTCAAATTAAAATACAATTATTAACAAACAAAACCCATAATGTTTGAGGAAACCTCTTCACTACGTTTCAACATATTCATTGATTGGGTAGTTTTAAAAAATGAAAGAAGATACCAAGTGGTATTCAAAATCTACAAGTCGAAGGAAAACTGACAACACCATGTCAAAAAAAAAAATACGAAATACGACAAACTGAAGGACAAATCCACAAAAAAATTACATAGAAAACTATAGCTACAGACTGAACAAAACGATTCCACCAAACATTACATAGAAAACTATAGCTACAGACTGAACAAAACGATTCCACTAAACATTACATAGAAAACTATAACTACAAACTGAACAAAACGATTCCACCAAACATTACATAGAAAACTATGGCTACAGACTGAAAAAAAACGATTCTACCAAACATTACATAAAAAACTATGGCTACAGACTGAACAAAACGATTCCACCAAACATTACATAGAAAACTATAACTACAGACTGAACAAAATGATTCTACAAAACATTACATAGAAAACTATAGCTACAGACAGAACAAAACGATTCCACAAACATTACATAGAAAACAATAGCTACAGACTGAACAAAACGATTCCCATCAAAAACATACATAGAAACTATTGCTACAGACTGAATAACGCGATTCCCACCAAAAACATTACATAGAAAACTATAACTACAGACTGAACAGAACGATTCCACCAAACATTACATAAACAAATATAGCTACAGACTGAACAAAACGAAACATTACATAGAAAACTATAGCTACAGACTGAAAAAAAAAACGATTCTACCAAACATTACAAAGAAAACTATGTCTACAGACTGAACAAAACGATTCCACAAAACATTACATAGAAAACTATAACGACAGACTGAACAAAACGATTCCACCAAACATTACATAAAAAAAAATAGCTACAGACTGAACAAAACGATTCCACCAAACATTACATAGAAAACTATAACTACAGACTGAACAAAACGATTCCACCAAACATTACATAGAAAACTATAGGTACAGACTGAAAAAACGATTCTACCAAACATTACATAGAAAACTATGGCTACAGACTGACCAAATCTATTCCACAAAACATTACATAGAAAACTATAACTACAGACTGAACAAAACGATTCCACAAAACATTACATAGAAAACTATAGCCACATACTGAACAGCACGATTCCCACCAAAAACATTACATAGAAAACTATAGCTACAGACTGAACAAAACGATTCCACAAAACATTACATAAAAAACAATAGCTACAGACTGAACTAAACGATTCCCATCAAAAACATTACATAGAAACTATTGCTACAGACTGAACAACACGATTCCCACCAAAAACATTACATAGAAAACTATAGCTACAGACTGAACAAAGCGATTTCCACCAAAAACATTACATAGAAAACTATAGCTACAGACTGTAGAAAACGATTCCCACCAAAAACATTACATAGAAAACTATAGCTACAGACTGAACAAAACGATTCCCACCAAAACATTACATAGAAAACTATAGTCACAGACTGAACAAAACGATTCCCACCAAAAAATTACATAGAAAACTATAGCTACAGACAGAACAAAACGATTCCCACCAAAACATTACATAGAAAACTATAGCTACAGACTGAACAAAACGATTCCAGCAAAAAACGGGAATGACTTAGATGTAGAGTTGTCTCATTGGCACTCATACCACATCTCTTTATATCTATGAATTCGTGTGCTCCGAGAGATAATAATTTTGTCCAATGCGAGAAAAAAAATACTTTCTGTGAAGATCTAGATACTTTTTTTTGCGAAAATAAAAACATGCAGGAATAATTTGTATATACCAATGATGATGACACTGCTAATGTAGCACTACCACGTATGTCCTCTTCATTAAGTGCCTCTACACGAGTAGGAATCCCATCTGTTATTAGAATAATACACGGCATGAGGTCGTGATGAGCCATCCTTGTGGAACCGTCTACAGGAGAAAGGAATATGTTAGAATTGAGGTTAAAAAGTAACTATTTGTGAGACGTATGCATCAAACCCCATAATTCTGACAAAGTCTGCCTCGCCCAGACACACGTTGATCTACATTAATTTTGGTTATTTATTTCAGGTTTTTTTTTTAGTTGCCCATGTATGTACAAAATATTTGGATGACATTGTAGGACGGTGCAGATGGAGAGCGACATTTCGTTGAAAAACATATTGCATCACAAGAAAAAAATAAAATAGCTGGATTTATTCTTTAGTTAACTTTCCGCTATTAAGACGATGTCTTTTCACTGATTAATCCAAAATTTTGTCATTATGTTGACTTTTTACCTTTCCCAATGCACTTGAAATAAAGGATATCAATTAAATCTGCTTATATCTTGACTTAAATCTAGAAATTGACGATGAGGGTCGGTTAAGAAATAAACTTTACTACAAAAGAGATGATTTTAATTATCCAATTGTGAACTTTCCATATTTTTAAGCAACATTCCTGCAGCGCCTTCAAACAGAGATATATCTCCGAGTTGGTATGCTAGTTCAATGCTCTTGATTTTCGTCCTTTATTTGGCCTTTTTAACTTATTTTCATTCGAGCGTCACTGATGAGTCCTTTTTAGAGGAAACGTGCGTCTGGCGTGCAATCTTGTTAATCCTGGTATCCATGATGAGTTTATTTCCAGGGGTTGCGTTCCCTATCATGGTTTCCTTGATAGAGGGTTACTGCTTAAAAGGAAACTATTGCATCCTAATAGTAAAGTTGAATCATCCTATCGACAGTTTTATGGACGACATCATGGTTTTGTTAACCTTGACGTTTTACAGGGTTAACATTTTCTCAACATCTATTATAAACCATTACCATAGTAATATATTGGGACCACTCTGTTAGTAAAATTGTTCTAAGGTCAAGTTTGCCTAAGGGCGTTGGAACCATAGTTTTTCAATAAGAGTCTTAATTTTTGAACGGGGATTTTTAAATAATTATTTGTTATCTATCATGTCCGTTCCAAAGCACTACTGAGCTGATGATACCCTCAGAGATTTACAGTCCACCAGCAGTGGTATCGATCTGGCGCAATCTGACTGAACTGTAGAATCTTCGATTGGTTTAAACTATTTTGCTACATATCAGTGAATTTGTTATTTAATAATGATATGTGGAAGTCAATTTACAAATTAAAAAAAATAATGTATTTATTATTTAGTATTTGACTTTGTTGCGTCTATAGTAAAGAAAAAAGGAATAAAGCCTGCAGAATATGAAATGAGGTCATGTATACTTCATATCTTGACATGCATATATACAAAATTTGAATGTGAGTGTCAGTTGAGAACTGAAACTTTGACAAACGAAATGAATTCAATTGTCCAATTGTAAACTTTCCATTTTTGTGTAAAACCTTAACAGCAGCACAAGCATTTGAAGTATATATTTCCTAGCTCATTCATTTGATATGCTGGGGTTTCCTTTCAATTTTTCCTTCATTATTCTTTCAAGGAAGCTATTGAATATGGTACTTAATTGTTAAATTGAAAACCATTGAATTTTATACATTCCACTGGTTTTAGCTTTAATAGTATCCGATGTTTGTGCCATCATCTTATGTTCTTTACCATGGGATTGGGACTGATCCAGCAGAAACCGTTCATATCCCCCTCGAGCACCCTGGTCAGCCCACCGCTTTTGGTGGAATTCTATTTGCTATATATTCAGTTTGATAACAACAAGTGGAGATTTTTTTTATTCGTTTGGTCATGGTGTTGTCTGTTAATAGACTTATGTTTTGATTGCCGCTTTGGTATCTTCTCTCCTTATGTCAAGTGATGATCACTTCCAAGAATTAACTCCTGCATAATAAACCGTTGAAAAAGTAAAAAAAAAAGTTCATAGAAGTTTTTTTCCCAAGGGAGTTCAAATAATCAATGTTCAAAATCTTTAGACAATATCACTTCTATATTGTAAATTTATCTTTGTACAAGGTATTACACTGAACTTGTTTGCTTTGTTCATTCATATTCTTTACAAGTTATAATATTTGTTTGAGTCTAATCACAATGTGCACGAATTATATGTTGTACATTTTAATAACAAGTAAACCAAATATAAATATAAACTCTCGACGAATTCAACCATTCATTGTAAGAATTGCACTTTCAAATTTATATTGTTCCGTCAGCATAATTCGAACGCATTGTATTAAAACATTAACGTACACAGTGCCTGCACTGTGACCAACAACTCGAATTTCTCGTCCAAATAGGCTATATTTATAGGTTTCATAACGAGTGAGAATTGGATATTGCTTTATATCAACTCGAGTTATATAATTTCAATAGAGGCCTCGGTGGCCAAGTGGTCTAAGTAGCCGAACAACTGTATCACTAGCCTGTCAACACTGAGGTTGTCAGTTCGAATCCCGCACGTGGCAGGTGCGTTCGACTCCAATTTTAATTGACTAGGATTGTTAGTTTTCTTACCGAAGGTCGGTGGTTCTTACCGGGCACTCCGGCTTCCTCCTCTAATAAAAACTGACCGCCGCAAAATAGCAGAATAGTGCTGAAAGGGCGTTAAACACCAATCAATTAATTTCAATTTTATTTTTACTATTTAAATTAAATAACGAGAGTTGACATCAATATTCAATTATCACGAGTTGTTAAACCTTTTTCTCTAATGGTTAACACTCTCATTGTGTTAAATTAAAAATTCCGTGAATCGCTTGTCTAGTCTTTTCCACTCACCAGCATGACATCATATGTCCTCTTACGGCGTCAAACTTTAGCATCATATATTTTAAATCTTTTTGTAAGATTCAGTGTGTAATAAAATTTGTCAAAAGGAAGATGTCCAGTTGAAAAGTGTGAGTTTTTGAAATCACATAAATCCGTTGACAGGGACGAAATGTACGTCTTCTTAACCTTTGAAAGTTATAAATGACCTAACAGATAGCCAATGGAAATGTTGAAATATCGTCTCGTGATGCTGGATAAGCCAAAAAAATTAACGCAGTTTTAGTATCACACTCCGTGCAGTGTGATACGAAAAATATCTCTTCATGCAAGAAATAGACGAAAAGCCAAAACCATAAATAAAACAATATAGTATGATAATTCAGGTAGTGCCTTTCCTAATCGAATTTACCATCAGGATTATGTATGGCAGCTTGAAGATGGTATAAACTCGGCATTAGAACTTTTCATTGTAATCTTTGAGCAAAGGTTTTTCTTTCCTATTGTTACTTTTTATATTCTTTAGGATGATGTTCCGTTGGCTCCTAATTATGATCAGTACATAGCGGATGTGTTTGCAAAAAGACGACATGGGTTTTAATGAATATTATATTTCCATTACTTTTTAAAACAATATTTAAGCAGGAGTATAGTATCAAAATTTGGTAGAAATGTAACTTAAGGTTATCACAGTTATAAAGCAGTATTTTAGAAGTATGATTTTACATGATTAAACCATTGCCGTGACGTCACCGTATTCATTTGCCGTGGTTTATTTTTCTAAATTCAACGCTTCCTAAATCTGTCGCTGAAATGGACTCATCAAATTATATTCAATTGTTTCCTTTGTTTGCCTAATTTCATGAAGTTTAAATTGGCTAATTTACTGATTTCTGTTCACTAATGGAATTAATTTAAAGACTTACCTTTAACATTTGTGATTTTATATGCCTTTACTGGGAATCGAACCCCTCCTTGATATCTGTTATGTGTGACTGACAACACATCGACGAAATCTCTCGGCTACCAATTGATTGCAACTAAGATGTCTATTTTTACTATACTATATATAAAAATATTAATTTTCGCGAACCATTTAGGTCCAAAATATGGCATCAGTAAGGAGAGTTGTACAAATAATGTCAATACACAGAACCCCGATCCAATTTATCTTTTGCTAAAAGTATTCATCATTTTCTGTTTTATATGTACTAACAACATTCAATTTTTCTATAATTTCGATTAAAATATTCTAAAACCTGCAGTTAAAATAGGTCACATGCCCCAAATAAACATTCCCCGATTGGTTGAACTACTGTGGCCTCGATGTAAAGCAACGCAAGCCTCGATGTAAAGAACAAGCTTCCCAAGAGTAAAGGAGGGTTGTACAAATAATATGAATACACAGAACCCCGATCCAATTCATCTTTTGCTAAAAGTGTTTATCATTTTCTGTTTTGTATCTACTAACAAAATTTCATTTTTCTATAATTCCGTTTTAATTATGCCAAAACCTGCAGTAAAAATAGAGGTATGTCCCAACTTAACATTCCCCGATTGGTTGAACTGCTGTGGCCTCGATGTAAAGCAACGCAAGCCTCGATGCAAAGCACAAACTAAATTTTCCGTTGATACACAAAAATTTCCGTTAATATACATAACAATAAACATCATTATGATACACATCGGTACAACGGACACACAGGGCTTGTACCTTTATATATACATAATAAGACAGGGGAAATATACCCAATGAACATTCAAACTCATAAGTTGTATGTTATAGTTAAATGGTTATATACTTTTTTTAGTTTGTTAGTTTAGTTTTTGTTTCATGTGTTGCCTAATTTTGTCAGTTTTAATGGAATTCCCCTCTTTGAATTTGCCTTGGAGTTCGGTATCTTTGTTATACTTTTTTATCATACAGTCACACAATATTTTGTCTTTATACATACCTCTTTACTTGTAACCACTTTACGACATATTTTTATTTAGCCATTATGGTAAACTTATATATAGGACTTCCACTATAATACTATGCATGCTTACAAAATACATTTTCTTTCTTTGTCTTCAATTCAGTCTAATTTTGTTTAAACTGTATATTTTGTATTTACAAGCTTTTGTCGGTCTATCTTAGGGATTCGAAGTCAAACTGTTGAGACATTTGTGGCAGCACATGAAACACTGTGACAAACGGCCTAGACAACTCGGCCAACTGTGCTTTATAAATTGTAACT